ATATACCTTAAATTATAGAGGCCTTAATCTTGTGATTTAAGGTATATTCCTTAATCACGGGGTATTGGGTTCACTGGGTAGGCACCATTTGAGGCGGGCTGACAGAGATGCTTGCAGTAATCATATTCGTAGTCTTCGTGGCCAGAGAAGCCGCAGCAAACTGAACGCCATGTCCACATACCACATATACCGACCAGGTCCCAATAGAGGGGTCACTGAAGGTTCGTTTTAGGACCTATGATATGCGCCTTCCTAGTCCAGCCACAGACGATTCCTTATCATGCTTGGTACTTCCAGCGGGAAGACTGTCTAGTTACCGCAGCTCGGGATATGCCTGCAGGGGGGGCGGTCTTTCGTGTGGCCGGGGAAGTATATGCAGGGACCCTGAAAGCAGGCAAATGATCCTATTCCCGGGTGGAACGTGATTATATAAGCCGGGAAAGCCATGAGCCCTAAATGTTCCTCTACCAGCCGTGAATTCAGCCCAAGGTTTTCAGATTGTTCCAAAGCATCTTTCTCAGCTGGGCGACGAACAATGGGTGTGTTGGTGTCCAACATGAGCATTCCGGCTACCTGCCTGCGCGGAGTGATGTCGGTTGACACCGTGGCAGCACATCCAAACCGCCGTCGTGCTTCACAATTGGCAATGGGGACGCGGACAGAGGCAACTTGCGGGATTCAACCGTGCTCACATGGCAATCCTACGTGTTTGCACGGCGGCATGTGCTTACAGGAGTCGATGTCAAGCTAGTCCCTGCCCAGGCGTGCCGGTCCAGCATTCAGCAAAAGCGCGTCAACAAATCAAAAAGTGGAGAAAGCAAGAGCAAGAAACTGCGAAAAGCCGGATTCCGACAGTGTTCTCCAGTGCTTTCCGAACAAGCAACCTTAAACAACACAAGCTGCACCATGTGAACGTGACCATATGCTTGGAAAGAAGGCTTCCAAAGCGTCAGCTTAACCCGCTTATCACTAAAACTCGAACCCGAATCCCACTAATCTTAAGCTAACTAAGTTTACTCTAAGCCTCTAAGCCATATCCCACCAATCTTCAGCTAAATTAAGTTTTCCTTTCTCCTTAAAATAAATCAGCCCCCGCACCCTCACAGCCAGAAGGATCCTTCCATTGACAACAGAGCCCGTACCTGTTAGGTTTAGGGTTTAAAACGGGTTTAGTAGGGTGTTTATGTTTTAGGGTTTAGGGCTTGGGGTCTAGGGTGTTTGGGGTTTAAGTTTGGGGTTTAGGGGCTAGAGTAACACGACTCCGACCCCCTTATGGTCCATGTAGATTTACACTATAACGTCCCCTCCCCCCGCCCCACGACCTGTTCCAAGTATTCGAGGCCCCTAATTATACAAAGGCACACGTATAGTACAGTGTGTATGTGTGTCTATATACATGTACATATGTATACATATGTGCATATGTATATGTATACGCATATTCACGTGTGTCGACAAAAAAGTTAACGAAGCAAGTGCAAGTATAAAGACAAGCTATGAACATATGTACAGACATATGAACGCAAGCACATGTATCGACAAATGCACTGACACCCTAAGCCCGAAAGCCTGCTTTGCAGGGTCCCTCATATCTGGGGGACAGGCACGAGGCCACCCCCACTTGGACCTCACAGAAAGAAGGACTCTTCCGCAAGATCAGGTTCAGGATCGCGCTGTGTAGTTTCTTGGGGATCCAATAACCGCCCTTTTGAAGGGTTGTAGCATTGTAGCCTATAGATCAGAGGTTAAAACCTACTATTTTGGACTACATGTATAGAATCCTTGAAGTGTAGGGTGCATGGTATGCCCTGGCATATTTGAGTTTGGGGCTTGCGGGGCTCATATGTAAAAAGTGCTGAGATGGCCTGCACAGGATTAGGTCGCTCCTGTGGACAAGTATCTTCTGGTCCGTCCCGTTTTGGGTTTAGGGTTTAGGACTGCTCCATGTCCGGCCTGTCTTTCAGAGAGCATTTTGTGAAACGGAAAGTTTCCAGGAGAAATCAGAGCCCTCGATACTAAGCCAGATCAGCGGAAGAACCCGAAAACACAGCTTTCAGCGCTTGCGCGCTTATCTGTGGCCTTTTTGCCCAGATTCTGTCTCGCTCGTACGACAGCCGACTCGTTAGCCCGGCGTTCACAGGAGCATCGTCCGCATCAAATAAGCGGGCGGGAGGACAATGCGAAAGTCCTCCCGCAGGCGTTTCCTGGGAACCAAGGTAGCAAGCACAGCAGGGGCCGTTCCGGGATGTCCACAGCACTCTGCCATCCTCGTCAGGTAAATATCACACAGCACACCAGGCATTGTTCTACCATGAGTTCTTTTCTCTGTTGGTGGCCTTTGTTTGCATGAGTTCTTTTCTTTTTTACACCCTTCTAGTGTCTTTCCGACACTGACTGATTTTGCTTTTCTAAGCCGACAGGATAGAAGCGGTGTTGACAGGGTCTGGAAGTAGTCGCCCATGCACCTCTGAATCTGATGGCCACTGGCGCCAAACGGTTGTTCCATGTCTCTGGCTGTAAATCACATGTTTGGGGTTAGCCATGTGCAGCTGCAGCGCAAGATCGCTAGTTTGGCAATCCAACAGTCGCCAACCCTTCTCGAAACTTGTACTGTAGGAGCCTGATTAAGAAACCCCGGGCCTATAACCCCAAAATAGTCGGGCTTCTATAAGGAACCCTCATAAAGACCCAAGGTTTCTTTATCAGGTTCCTACATTATTCCTTCACGAAGCATCTCTGTAGCTGGAAGCTGGACATCCCAGAGCAGTGCTCGCAAACTTTGAGAACAGAAAAAAGCACAAGCAGGCTATGGGGGTGTCCAATGTCTACGGGGTTTGGGTTGTGAGTTGCGTGGCCTGTGAGTCTATAATAGTCGTTGAGGGTCTGAATTCGAAGGCGCCACAGACAGAGAGACAGAGAGAGAGCAAGAGAGAGAGAGAAAGAGAGATAGAGAGAGAGAGACAGATACAGTGAGAGACAGGTCGTCGAGAGTCAACGGTGCAGGATTTTGGGTCACAGGGCGCGGGGTGTTCAGAGCCTAGATCTCGGTACAGGCTCGTGGAAAGCTTTAAGTCTGAATCTTGAAAGTCCTGAACTTTTACCCCTTTGCTCCATAGCGTCATACAGCCTTTTACGAGGGCGTTGGGTTTAGCCCAGAGACTCCAAAACACATTCTTCCAGCAGCAAGCTAGAGAGGGCTCCTCAAACAGTGTTTAAGATAAACCCCGGAGTCCCTAGTTCGTAAAGCGGTCTCACAAAACCCTATACAACACCGTTACAGAGCTCGTCGAATCCTGCAGAAAGCCTCATCTAAGGGTGCATTGGATAGAATCTTGAATATTTGAAGTAGCACTAAGATCGTCTAGCCAGCTGTTTTCATTGCATCATAATTGCCTCAAAACCCTTTCTAGTCTTTAAGGCCTACTTAGAAATGAGGCAAAAAAAGCAGGTCGGTGGAAATGTACCTTGCCCAAACCCAAGCCATTTGAAGCACAACCTGGTCCCTTTTCCGTTTGCGATTGCATTGTCTACATCCTACACTTTGAGATTTAGATATATTCCTCCCCGAGACGCCACAAGCCTTGAATTAGGGAGTATATACGAGTATGCTGAATTTCTGAGGGATCTCTATACGAGATTTGCAGGATATTCAACGTATATGTCTCAACAAGGGGTTTTGGAATCTGAGTCTGTGGGTTACGTAGGCCGTTTTTTGGCGCTTGGGATCAGAGAACGGGCTTGGTGCTTCGGTGCGACATCTCGAATTAGCGTGCTGCACTTTCCGGTGTAGCATTTAAGTTTCCTAACCCTGAAGCCTAAACCCTATAGACCCTGAACCTACAACAGAAGTGGAAAAGAAAACCTACAACAGTACAGGGTTGACGGTATACGGTTTAAGGCATTAACTTCCGCTGGCACACAATCCAAATTTTGCTGAAAAGGAGCATGAACTTCACGTTGGATTACAAGGTTCCTGTAGTTGGTTTTTCTTCATGTAAAGACTGCATGGAATTCAGGTCAAGCGTTTGTGGTCTGGATTGCGGTGTTCCATAAGCCCAGCTCACGTACTGAGGGCTTCAACCCAGATATAGAAGTTGAATGTTTTCATCAGCTGTGTTTTGACCCTCGGCTCAAGACGAAGGTTCGCATCCAGCCACTAGTTTTGTAGTGTGCATATATGAGTCGAAAGCCATGGTGCAGGCCTATCGATTCCTGGCTATGATGCTTCCGGCAGCATGTCAACTCGTCAAGGCTCGTGTTGCTCATTACATGTCGCGCTTCATTCCCCATTCCCTGAGGACCCATGTATCCACACTGTATCTATATAGTAGTATAGTATGTTCACAGGGGGCCGACCGTCCCAATAAAGGAATCTAAGAATCTAAGGCACAGCATATACTAGACTGCTGCATAGACCCTCGAGACCCAAGAATGTAATTTTGAACCATCGTGTTGAGGCCAAAGAATTTACCATTTGCGCACATGGACCCTTTAGGTTATGAAAAGAACTCTCACGGCAGGATCAGTGGATTCCTTTACAACTAGGCACACACATGTTTAAGGTATAGTTCTTAGTTACTTAGTTATTATTGCTTACTGTTCAATCAGGTTACTTTTGGCCATACTTTACAAAATCCCCCGATCCTCCGAGAAAGCCTTCCGTCTCCTTGCAGGCTGTCCGACATTACGAGCTCCTGTAGAGCAGGGTCACGGCTTGAGATTGTCGGTTTTTTCTTTTCCGGCAGACCATCCTTTCTGGTTTCTTTGGCGTTCGTTGTTTCTTATTAAACCCTAAACCCTATAGGGTTTAGGGCTTAGGGTTTAGGGTGGCTTTCGTCGCTGCTTCATTTCAATCGGCTTGAGCCCCAGACCCCAAATCCAAAGCTCCCACCCTCCACCTTCAACCGGACGACTCCCCAAACCCCCCGGCTACGCCGAAGCCAAAAAGGAGGCTCAGAGGAAGATCCCACGGCACCCAGAGCTCCAAAGTCTCTTTCGCCATGGCTGCCGTCGTGCGCCGCCTCGGCGCCTCCGCCGTGACCCCGCCACCCTGGCTGCATGCAATAGGGGCCTTACTAATTAGAACAGGGTTCCTCTAGAGGGTATAAGGGATCCGTAAGGGTATTATAATATGGAGGCTTCAGTAATTAGAACCGGGTTTGGGGGCATAGTGTACTCACATTTTATTACGGAACCCTAAGAAATAGCAGTGGAAATTGTACAGTCTTCTGTAATAGGCAGAACGACACACCTCCGAGTGCAGAAAGTTGATTAAGAAGCTTCTGGTTCTTGTTAGAACTCCACACTATGCATAATATAAGGACCCAATTAATAATTAGAATAGGGTTCCCTTTAAGGCATCCTTTTAAGGGGGTCTATAGGGGATCTGTAGTAGGGTTCTATAATTTTGGGGCCTTGAACATCTTATGTCGGAGGTTCTGACCCCTCGTCGCATCGCAAGGCTTCTATCTGAGTGGGATTGCTGGGATTACAACCGCTCGCAGTTAATAACTCATAAAGTTCCAGGAGAAACTGCAGGGTGCAGGTTCTCAGATTCTCAGACGGATGCAGGACTGACGGTCTGCATGTTTACTTACAGGGGATCACTAGTCCGCCGCCGGCGAAAAAGTCCTCGAGAAGGCTTTCATGATCTGTCCGATGCAGCGAAGGAAAATGTTCGGGATGGTTAGGATGTTTGGACCCAGCATCATGACTGTTTTGTCGCCTTCAATGCTGGACTTTTTCTGAGTCTTACTCGGACCGTGAATCACCATCAGAATAGTCTAGTACAGCCGAACTAGGTGCCGAACGGGAGTTATACTACATGACATATCGTAACAGCCGCAAAAATGTGCTACGACATTCTGTCGAGGAAGCTGGGTGTGACTCTCCGGGCGAGCAGCTTGCCAAGACACTTCTCCTCGTTGCAACCCGGCTCAGGTTTGGGGTGCAAGAATTGGGAGTTTCCGGAAATTAGGGGTACCGTATTTTAGGGTCCTTATTATAAGGATCTTACTATTCAGGGTACTATATTAGGGTCCCCCATTTTCGGAAACTCCCAATTGGTTCAAGTGGTTCAAAAGTTTAGAGCTTTGGGCCTCAAGGCTTCGGTGTGTACGTGAGCTTGTCGGAGGATGTGGACTAGGAGTTCAGATTCGCAGATCTAGAGAATCCCTTAGATTCCCAATACCCAGCCTTTAATTTTTTTTGGGTTTCTTCTAGTGTAGCAAAAATCCGAAAGCTTAACCTTATATTTCTGTGGCATATTGGGGGAGTAAGATCCACTTCTCCCGGACAGGATTCTCGAAAGCAGCCGAGGCAGAGCAAGGTGGATGACTTCTGCAAGCATGTGGACCTGCACCTTCCAAAGGACGGTCGCAAGGCATGTGTTTAGATTTTAGGGTTTAGGGTTCAGGGTTTAGGATTTATGGTAGTCTGACTGTTTTTCTTTGTGCATTGTCATCTTCGATGTTCCAGGCTTGGTGAAGCGACAGGAATCGGTTAAAGAGTGCAAAAGCATGCAGTGCCAGCTACGTGCAGCAGCAGGGCACTCCACAACCTGTTTGCAGCTTGGGTCCTTAGTCTTAGTTGTTCAATTCTAGAGAAGGCAAGTCGAACCGCAGAAAGCTGGACCGGTTGGACGACAAAGAAACTTCTGAAACCCAGGAAAGAAGGTGGTCTTTGCCACGGCGTGGCTTGCCACTGACAACGTGTTCGTCGCTCTCATGCGGAAGCATTTCCCCGAACCTTGGCGAGGCAGAAGGGTTTGTCGGGGTTGATGCGTTCGGTGTGTCGAGTTTAGGTGATGCTGCCAAAGCAGCCGAAGTAGTGGCCTCGCACAGGGACAATAACAGGCGTTCAGTGGACACCTTATGTGGTGTTGTTTTCCTGTGGTTCAACCCTACATGCTTTCTCTTTCTCGTTCTCCTCCTTCTCTTGCTCTTTCTTTCTGTCTATATATATATATATATGTAACACATATGCACATACGCTTGATTTGTAGAAACTACAAACTGGACCTTCTAGCCAACTTTCGGGTTGAGTGGTCATCTGCACTGAAAGCCACTCCTGTGAACTTGCCCCCCCCAAAAAAAGAAAAAGTTCGCTTTATTGGTCAAGGATGATGATGCCTGTAGGGTTTCGAATTCATCATGCAATGGCTGTCGCAACCCAAGGAGGTTTTGACTGGGATGAATCTCGTTGCCATTGACACGCTGCATCTCTTCCCGACTGCTCTGGAGTGTGCCAAGCTGGTTGAGGAGAAGTACGCCAAGAAGGCCGAGCCATCAATATGGTACCTAATTTAGTAATAAGAAGAAGCACAGCCATTGACAGTAATTACAGCAAGATTCATTATTCATAATTCAACTGCAGATGCCATTATTACTGTTAGTAGTCCCAGCAATATGTTGACAATAACTAGTAGCAATCAAGATACCACTAACTGTAATAACTACAATAAGAATAACGATGATAATAAAAACGATAATGGTCATGGTGTGTTGTTGTCAGCCTGGTTGGAACAATAAGGCGCTGCCGTGGCCACTTGTGACAGTGCTGGGGGGTTTAGGGTTAGGCAGGTTTCTTTTCAGTCGGATCGAGGCTGGCAGCTCGAGTTCTCGGACGGGGGCGAACATGTTAATTTTGTGAACTACCATGTCTTGGAGCTTCTTTGCGCTGCACAGGCCATGTGGAAGATGCCGAAGGGAATCACGACGAAGGACGACCGTTCACCGGTTTTCGATTGACAAAGCAAGGAACCGCCCTTTTTCCAGCCCGCTCAGGGTCTCACTTTTTTCCACCTGGGTAGGCAGGGGACGATGGTCCTGAATCACTGACAGAACCTCGAAATCCCAGTGTGAGTGCCGAAGCCAACAAAAACCTTAAACCCTTAAGCTAAACTCGAAATCCGAAACCCTAAACCCAAAGCCTAGAACCGGAGTCTTGAAGGACGAGTTCATTGCCAAGTACGGCGACTGTGAAGAGTTGGACTCGGCCGACTTCGACTTTGTGAGCAAGGCTAGGCTCCGGAAGTCAGGGGGCAAAGACGGTGATTTGATATATAATCTAACCATTGATATTGGGGGAGCTAAGGAGCCAGGGATGATGATAATCCCTACTAGATAAGGAGCTAAAGAGCCAAGGGAACCCCAAAATCACTGGTTAGTAATACAATCTAATTCAGTATGCTAAACCCTGGAACCTGAAACATACGCTGCTTTTCTACGGTGGAAGGATTCCAGTAGTTCAGGGCTGTGAGTGATCATTGGCGAGGGGTATACTGTGTGAGTATGCCGCGAATGGATTGGGGCTGCTACAGGGTCTTGTGGCCATAGAAGGTTTGCGTCCGAGGGTGTCGGGGATGAGGACTTCTTGCCTGCAGGTTCGAATCTAAGCAACTTTGGGCAGCAGTGTGTTGGGGCTTTGGGGTGCTGTATGTACCCAGAGGGTCCATTTACATTATTACAATTATGGAATTAGGCCCTAAAAGACCATCCCCATTATGGTTTTTGGGGGCCTAATTCCATAATAGTAGTGTATGTGGACCCTCTAGGATAGATCTTGGGTGTCAGGCCATCCCGGGGTCGGTTGGCCTTGATCCGTAAACCCGACACCCGGAACCCGAAACTTTACCTTCTCTTAGGGGTACTTAGAAATAATTTATAATTTGGGTTCTAAGTTCAGTATAATTCTACATTCACCAAAATTACTTTGGGGCAGTTTCGGTCCGCGAGTCCTCTTCTTATCACTTCTAAACCAACTTCATATGGGTTGTTCTCCAAATTAGGGTCCCGTTTCGGATCCTTTTTCAAAGGTTGCCTTCCTATTCGAATGACCCTAATTTAGGGAGCTATCCAGATTGACAGACACCGCCTAGTAACGCTGAGGCCGGTAAAGAGTGTTTAGATTCTAGCTCCTTGCATCAGGAACTTGCTTGGAGGTGCAACGAGTTTGCTTCACACATTTTCTTACATGGTGAAGGTCTTGTCTAACAGCTGCCTGAAGCTGTGCAACTACACTCCACCTAGCAGCTTCGCTTCGGAACCCAAACCTCCTGCCCAAAACCCTAGTCTTGACCCAGAAAGCGCCCAGGTGGAGCCTTTCCAGCGCGCTTTGGAGGAAGTCGGCGCTCACGTCCATTTGTGTCCTAGTTTCGGGTTCCTGCACTAATCCCGATGACAGTAAACCCTACAAGCCTGTAAGAACTTATAAAGCCCGAAACCCCGCCCATGAAACCCTTTGAAGAGCTCCCAAGCTTTCGAGCCACAAGTACATGCCTTCATCCTCGAATCTAGCAGTGCGTGCTCGAAGAAAGAAGAGAAACTTTGCAGGTGATTGCGTGTTCGATGATTCTATGGAGACCGACAGACTGAGCTCATTTGCACATCCCATAAGTCTTGAGAGAGTTTGCAAGCCACAAGCATTTCGGGCGATCCATGCGCAGGGCTTCCATCTCCGGCTCTGCCCTGGGAGGAGTGTGAGAAGGACATCTTGATTACCGGCCGCCGCATGGATCAGGCGGCACAGCGCATCAAGCTGGATGTCTGGGAGGATCAGAAGCGCACCTGGGTCGCAGGTGAGTGATTTGAGTTCAGACAGGGAAGGGCAGTGGCAGTTGGCAGGAGATAGGAGGGGCCAGGGAAGGGCAAGCAGGCGGGCAGGGATCTTTCAGGAGCTCAGGGCTTATAGACTTCGGGAGCACCTTCCCAGGCACGCTGAACCCTATGGCGAACTTCAGCTGGCAGGACATCATCGACTATGTGGACAAGGAGAATTGTCCCTCTAGGCCTAAGCTTGCGTTGTCTCACTCTCGGGAGAGTTATAGGGCTGCCTTGGTCGTGATCGCAAGACGTTTCTGAGCGCCGCAGTAGCATGCGCAGGAAGTGCGTCTAACGACCGGCTTACATTACGCAGACATAGCGACAAAATTCCAGGGGCCAAGACACCACCCGAGCAAAACTGTTCGAACGCCCGATCACTGAGAGAGCGGAATATGGTATTTGTGTTGCACGATATTTTTAAATGAGTCAAGAGGGGCTTGGAAACTTTGTGGTAGTGTGTTTTACGGTATTCTGGCTTAAGGTTTAGGATCAATGTTCTTAATTATTCTTAAAGTCTTAAACTCTGTAGTAGTTCAAATCCTCACGAGGAGGGTGTGCCAGTGAACGCTGGCCACAACTGGGCCTTCCGCTGCGACGCGCCGATCGAGGCGACCAGCCGCCATCTCCCGGACCTTCCATGGACCAAGGTGGAAGTTATCCAAACAACTCACCCCTATATACACTAAACCCTATAATTCCTAGATCCGTTTTTCTTTAAGCCTTAATCTGGGTTGTCTTGTGGGTGGATGTGGTATCATAGAAGTCCGTTCATCTCTGTGCTGTTAGGGAATCCCACAGGAGCTGCGCTCACTTCCCATCTAATAAGTGTTGGGACATGTCTATAGTTGCTATACTCACCTTGACGGAATATCCTACAACGTGATTAGCATAGCCCCGCGAGGTGGACCTGGGAAAGCCCTTCTGGCGATGCACGGACGCTGAGATCAAGGGAAGCCCTGCGGCCCCCATCACCTATGTGTTCAAGTCCTTCGGCGACATGCACCGCCCTCAGAAACAGAAAGTCTTATGCCCGACAGAGGGCTTCAAGGGCTTCTGATTTCAGGTGATGCCTCAAGGGGTTGGAGTCCCGTTTCGAGTTCATTATTTGTCAGAGCTGTAGGCTATAGATCTTAAATATCTTACATCCTACAATCCCGAAAACCTTCTTGAACCCTTAAATCCACACCTCAAATCGCTTTGAGGGTTTAGGGTTTAGGGTTTTAGGGTTTAGGGTTTAGGGTCCTGAACACCTAAGCCCAGGCACACCACCGTGCCCGTGGAGCCCCATGAGTCCGAGCGCGCAGGACGTTTCGTGCGCCAGGCCAGGGCGGGCTTAGGGTTGAATTATCGTAGAAAGAATCCCTTATAGTAACGTAACCCTTATGGGCCCCTTTAAAAGGGAATCCTATAGAACCATGCTATAGAGCCCTTTGAGGAGCCCTATATGGTAGAAGCCAGAAAGTTGGAACATCATTATCCTCATGCCCTTAAGGTAAAGTATAAGGGATCCTAGCACTAATCCTCCTAAATCCATGTTCCAACTTTCTGGCTTCTACTGTAGGGTTCACCTGGATGCGCATACCCTACCCCTGTTTTGGGGGATTTACTTTTCTATATCACAGCCTCGGTTAAGTTTAGGGTTGGGTTGATTTCGAATTTCCCGGATCATTGTCCATCAAGGCAGGAGTGGAGGTTGTGATTTTGCCCGTTTGGGACGGCTTCCTCCTCCGAATGTCAGGCGAAGACGGAGTGCGGTATTCATACTCGCACCACCTTCGCTGGTGCTCCGCACGGCGGATCCCTCGTTGACTTGATGGTCAAGGATGAGTTCTGCAATTCCTGCGTTAACTACCTAGGTGAACATCCTGGCAGCTGTTTGACTTGTCGATGTGAATCATCGTGGAAACGGGAATGTCAGTAAACTGCCAGCCACAGCAATCCCCTAAACCCTAAGCCTTCAACCTTAATGCACCAAGTGCAGAGCAACTCGGATTCGAATACGATCAGGGCAGGAATCGGAGCAGGAGTGAAGTAGTCGTTGTGTTGCAATATAGAAATGGAGTTTCCGAAAATTCTGGGTACTTCCCTTGTGGGGTCCTTATTACAAGGACCCTACGACTAAGGGTACTATATTATTGGGGTGCCCTATTTTCGGAAACTCCCAAACGGCAATTAATAATACAGAGTCCTGAGGCTGAAGGTTCCAGCAGTTCGCAGGTTAGGTCTTGATCGGACAGAGTGCGCTCTTATCACCCGAATCGCCTCAGGATGAGTGTACTCTGCTATGAGTAGTCTAAGTACATAGAGAACTCATCTATTCTGACTATTCTAAATTCTAACCTTACTACGCCCTCTGATCTGTCAACCGCCGAAGGATGCGGCAACCATCCAGAGCCTGACCGCCAGCACCGTCAAAGCCATTGAGCTGAATGAACGCCAGGCCCTGCAGAGTAGGTGGTGTCGGCTCTTGGGGCTTCAGGATTGAGGCTCTAGAGCTTCTAGGGCTTACCTGTAGCCGAAAAGACCTACCTTTTTAGGGTTCCTTATTATGATTTCCTTATATAAGTCCTTAAAAAGCCGGCTTAAGGTAGGGCTTGGGGTTTGAGGTGTAGGGGTCTTGTGGAATCTATAGTATGGAACATGATTTTCTTGTTATCTAGGTTCCGGAGCAATGCCCTCTTGCCATTGTTCTGTTCGGGTTCCCCTATCAACACCACATACTGTAGTAGTTGGAGAGGGTACTCTCAGTCATTATCCTTGTAGTAGAGTAGGCAACCTTAAACCTTGTTTGGGTAGTATAGCCCCTGTATAATCCCTGTTTTTTCGAAAAAAGTTAACCTTTATAGTTCCCCATGATTCCCGACAAGTAGGCTAGTAGAGGGTTACTGGAGAACCAGGGCCCGGTAGAGCGAGCCTTAGAGTCTCGAAGTTTGGGTCTGTGACAGCTGAGCCGCCGCCAGGCTTTGGTAGGGGTCTTAGGGGTTTAATTGGGGGCTTGAGGTTCTTGGGGTCAGGGGTTTGGGGGGCTTGAGGTTCTTGGGGTCAGGGGTTAGGGGTTTAATTGGGGGCTTGAGGTTCTTGGGGTCAGGGGTTAGGGGCTTAATTGGGGGCTTGAGGTTTTTGGGGTCCGGGGTTAGGGGCTTAATTGGGGGCTTCAGGTTAAGGTGGGGAGGGGTTAGGGGTGTAATTGGGGTGCAGGGTTTGCGGGTTTTAGGGTTCAGGCTTTCGCCACCTCGCCAGGCATGCGATGTCTTCTGCCTGCTCAGCGGCGCCTTCAGCCCCCTTTCCGGCTTCTTGAGCGCGAAAACCTGAAGCCACCATCCTAAAGCCATGAAACCTTAATGTCTTTTCAGCTTAAACCCTATTATAAGCCTAAGCCCTAACCCAGCCAACCAACCCCGAACCTAAACCCACAAGCCTTGGCCTCTTTCTGGCGTGCGTGTTACTAAGCTGTCGGACATCTTCAGGCACGCCTTATTGGGTAAGCTTTAATGCCCGGGATTGGCTGGAAAATAATGCGACATGTGTATACAAAAGACGGTTGCACCAAATAGAGTATTGCCTAGGAGCTATACAAGGAAGCCATACTCTAATCGCATACCTCCACCATGGTATCCAAAACACCGTACTTGCCCCTAAACCGGAAACCCCAGCAGCCCTGAAACCCAGGATTCATGGAGGAGACCGCCTACAACTCGGTGGTAAAGGACTGTCAAGAGTCAAGACATGTGAGGAGGTGCCTTCTCGGAGGTGATCTAGGGTACTTTTACCTAACACTAGCTGTGTTTCACCCTCTTCCGGAGGGGTGCTGGCCGGAGTTTTGGCCTTCACCCACTACTCAGAGGGTACACTGGTACGGGACCTGATTGCAGGTGGGTGGCGAAGCTCTTGCCATTTCACCTTCGTTACAGGAAAGCGGTGGGGAGTGAGTGGGTTCCGGGAGCACACGGGCCGCGATACGCACTTAGTATCTGCAGAGGGATCTGTAGAGAAGCGTGCTTGCCATTTGGCTCGCGGCTGCGCTCAGCCCGACGCAGAGGGACGTTGTTTGCGTGGCCTAGTACCTCGGAGGGGGACCTTCAAGGGAAGAGCCTGATCGCACGGGTATCCGCGAGGATGGCACGCTGTCTTGCCCTTATGCCGGCTTGCCGGTGGCGGGCCTGCCTAGTTGCTACTTCGTGCGATTGTTGGCATGCCCTCTTGCCAAACTGGGCCGTCTTTGCTGACCTCATAACGTTGTTTCTGGGGTTGGGGCGTTCGCCAGCGGGAACTCCAAGTGGAGGGGGCAATGACGCTTGCGGAGCCCCCTGAGAAGCCGGGAGGGAACGGCGCCTTAGGCATGGCTGCTGCGCGCACCACCTCGTGCAGCTAGTCGCTCGCTCACTCACTCACTCACTCTAGCTGTGTTTTCCCTACCTTAAGCCTAGGTGGATGTTTCAACTTTGGCGTTTTTTGCTGCTATGCACACAAGGTGCCCTGCATGCTTAAAGCGCAGCAGAGATCCGGCATAGCCGCCCCGAAGCATTCAACATTCAATAATACTCCCTGTTCGGCGGAACATTCCGCTTAATCACTTTCGTGTAGTACCAGCTTGCCTGCAGGTGGGCTTGTTTCTCTTACAAAGTTCCAACACCCTGCTTCAATGCATTTGCTGTTTGGGTGCAGTACATGCGCCCGGATGAGTCGTCTCCCGGTCATATCATCGATGGGTTCATGATGTTTGCTTCGCCTTGATGGCAGCAGTTGGAAATGTCAGACAAGCCATTACACAAATTGGAAGCGACTCTGGGTTCCTTGCTTCACAAGTCGTGGCCTAGCGCCAAGCGAATTGTGTAGAACTGTATAAGGCTGTCACGGCTTCCCAGTGTATCCGGCCACTCGGTCTTCCATGAGGTTGAGACGACCTTTAAGCCCTAACATCCCGAAGCACAGAACCCTAAAATCCGAATCCCAAGCAACTTAAACCCAAAAATCGTAACCGACCGTAACCCCTGACATGACATGCCAGAGCCCCGTGGAAGGACATGCGCCTGCCCGAGAAGCAGCTCTTTGGCTTGCCCGTGACCTTCGACCTTCCAGAGGCCTGGCGACAGACTCGACAAACCCCAATACTCTAAACAGTAGGATCCTTATTATAAGCCCTAAACTAGTGCCCTAAATAGTAGGATCTTTATTGTACAAATTTTTAGTGTTTCTGGAAGTTGATGCGGTTCTTTTGGTGATTGGCTTAAATTTATGGAGAGAAACTGAGGGAGGCAGACTTTTTGGGGTTCTATGTGGTGTCGTAGCATTTCACGAGCCTGCATATTCTTTCACTGGGCTTGGTACAGTCTTGCCCATGCTTGATGTATGGGACTTCATCAGGCTTGATACGGCTTTGCTGGCTCTTGCGGGTTGTATTCGGGCTCAGAGCTTGGGCTTGTTCACGCAGAAGCAGTGGCTCCGGCATCGAACCCTAAACCATAAAGCCTGAACCCTAAACCCTGTGTGCAAGCGTGAGCGTCGAAACCCGAAACCCTAAACTCCTTAAACCCGCCACCCTAAACTCTTTAAGCCCGAAACCCTTAACTCCTTAAGCCAGAAACCCTAAACCCTAAATTCGAGAAGGTTGATGGCATCAAGCAGGGCGACAAGTTGCTGCTTAAGTGGAAGGGGACGAACGTCGCCGTCCTCGAGGCTTCTTCCATTTGGAAGCCCAACAAGGCGAGCCTGCTATTCCTCTTAAGGGTTTCTAGTATGGATATTCCATGCTGTACCCCCAAACCCTAATCTGACTATTAAGACCCCCGTTTCAAGGCCAAACTTCAGGGCTTGCTCAATATGAATAGTCGGCTGTTCTGTAATGTACCCAAAGCCTAACCTAACAATTTAGGCTCCTATTTCAAGGCGAGTTTTGGGCCCCGCTTTCGGATTCCCAGAGTTTTGAGGTCTTTGCGGTTGTGCGGCTGGTCCGCAACACGAAACCCTTATTAGATGGTGAAAACATATCAGACCGTGCAAATCTCCTAAAACGCTTACGGTACCCTATGCAGCGGCACAGCCATTACAGGCTCGTTCGAACCCAAGAACCCCATGCAACTCCTGCAAGGGGTCATCTCAGCCCATCAAGCCCGATGGCACCTTATGACAAAGCCTCAGTCCAGTCCCGAAGCCAGGTGGTGGAGGCCAAGGAGTGCTACGGCACGAGCAGCCTCGAGCATCCCACTGTGGCCTCCCTGGTGCAGGAGCTGCTGGTTCGGGTTTAGGGTTTTAGGGCTTAAGAGTTTCAGGGTTTAGGATCTTGGAAATCAATGTCTAGGACTATCCTGAACCGCAAAAAACTTGCGCTCTGTATGGGAACACAACAGGAAAGGATCTTCTCGGGTTTAGGGCTTCAGGGTTTAAGGCTTTGCAGTTGTTCTGGCTTCAACGTATGGTCCATTAGTTGAGCAGGGTTGAGGTCTAAGGGTTCGCAATTACCTTAAGGTAAACGGTTTGGGCGCAGGAGTTGAAGTTTGCGTTTTTCAGCCAGATGGAAGTGTCAGGGCTTTGGGTTTAGGGTTCAGAGACTTGCGATGACCAGTTGATCAGTTTGCAATCGGGGATAGCCGTGCGGCACGAATCCACAGCACAGTCGGCGCCTCGGTTTCTGGCATATGCATAGTCCAGGTGTCAAAAAATGGTTCAGGGGTTTAGAAGGATTTCGGGGTCAGGGGGCCACGAGTCACGAGTCCAAAGTTGGAACTCATGGCTCAGGGCTGTTGGGTTTTTGTTGGTGCAGCAGTTTTGGATGGCGGTTCTGGGACTGTGGATTTATGGGTCTGGGGAAGGGGTGCTGTGGGTTTACAGCGTGAAGGTCTTTATGTTGAACCAAGTGATTTCAAGGCTATCTTCTTCCGTTGGTGGGGCTCTGGTTATTTAGCCTTTCGGTTTGAAGCTGCTCGCAATGTGGATGCATTGGCTTTGTTTTTTATAAGGCTATCTGGATGTTGGTTTCGGTGAGTCGTTTGGTGGACTTTGTTTAGGGTGGCAAAGGAGCAGAAGATCAAGCTCAGAAGTCCTCCGAGGCTCTTTGTAGAGAAGGTTCGCGTTTGGACTGAAGCTGAAGGCTTGGAGGTTTGCCAGGCTGTTCAGTGGCGCACTTTTTTACTTTCAGGTTTCTGGGTTCCTATTACATATACTATAAGAAGCCTAAAAAAGTATATACTTTTTCCGGCGGGTTACTGAACAGCCTAGTTTGGGTTGCCCCGCCCTCGTGGATAAATGGCAGAGGAGATTGGCAAGTATTACGTCGGCGGCAAGATCCACGGTTTCGAGCTGCCCAAGCCGCTTGGAAGGACGGACATAAGTCAAAGGTCGTGATAAATAAGCCATACGACACATAGCCACCCAGATGCCGTGTCTCCCTGAAATATGACGGTTTTGGAAAGCGGGGCACCCCAACACATGACCCGGAATAGCAGGATCCTTATTATTTGGACCCCCCCCCCCCCAAAAAAAAAAAATAAGGCACCCCGAATTTTCGGAAACTCCCATATGACGAAGATAACCTGCGTTCGAAGCCGTCGAGCCCCAAGCCCCAAAGGGCAAATGCCACAGCTCTGTACCCTTACCTATTTCCAATGCGGTTCCCTGATTGAGCTAACAGTGTTCATGGGTCGGTATCCTATAATGAACTTGGCGTTCTTCTGGTTTTGGCGCTTAGGACTTTAACTTTGGGGGTTTCTATATGAACCCTTAAGGAGGCTAAAAGTTTAACTTTCAGGAGGGGTTCAGAAGTCAGCCAAGTGAAAATAGAGGTGCTCAACAAATGGAAGTAGGTTGGAGACTGCAGGTGAAAGCTAGCGCTAGGGGATCCAAAATCTGAGCTTGTCCGTTGCGAATGCATGCAAACGATTGATGACATAAATCCTACATTACCCATAATGTAGAAAATGCCAAAATTCCTATTATTTAGGATCCTTAAGGTAATGCAGGATTTCTATCCCTAAACCCTAAATGCTGAAACCCTGTAGATCCCTTAAAGGAGCCCCTTAAAGGTACCCTTTTGGATCCCTTTCAATGAACCACAGGATTTCTATCCCTAAACCCTAAACCCAAAAACCCCATAGACCGCTTAAGCCCCCTTATAGATCCCTTTAAAGGAACCCTGGGATAAATCTCATCAGCCGAAAAGCAGCCGAGGTTCGGCTACCCTACGCAGATTCCGGCTGAGGTCCGGGCGACGCTGCCGGAGAACAAGCAGGTGGCTTGCATATATATATATATATATATAGATATAGATATAGATATAGATATGTATGTAGGTATGTACATTGGTATGTATATGTATATGTATATGTATATGTATATGTATATGTATATATGTATATATGTATATATGTATATATGTATATATGTATATGTATGTATATGTATGTATATATATATATATATATATATATATATATATATATATATATATATGTGTGTGTGTGTGTTCGGCCTCGTAGCTCTTTCATGCTCGTTGTTCTTTGGTCTTCCATCCGCTGATTTTTGTTTTTAGTCTTTGCCCGTCTTTTCGGGCTATGTTCGCCTCTGTTCACCCTGTGGAATCTTGTCCCAAACTCGAGGCATGAAGGCCTAGAGACTGCGAAACCTCTTTATTAGGGGAAAATCTTTATCACAGGGTTGATAAGGGGCCCCTGTTGACGGGACCCCTGTGGGTTGCGCTTGCCGAATGGGCGCGTTGCGGCCCAATAAAGCCCAATGCAGCCTAATGGGGTCCAATGGCTTTCCCATTTGCCCCCATTAGGCCCCATTGGGCCCCATTGGGCCGCAACACGCCCGTTCGGCAAATGCAACCCACAGGGGACCCCCTATCAACCCTGCGACTTTAAACATCAGAATGAGGATCCCCCATAGATTGGGCTATATTCCTCAAGCAGGGCGTAGGGGATTTGGGAGTCTCTGAGGGGAATTTTCGGAGCAGCCTGGCAGCCTTCCCTACTTCAGGCTTGGGGCACTGGGCAGATTCCTCCAGTAAAACCCCGAAGTCCTGCGTTTCGTTTAGGCTTCTGGGGTTTACGGGTAATTATCCCGGAATCCCTAAACATCAAAGCCCCCGATTCAGTGCAAGGGTAACTTACCTGACGGAGTGGCTCAAGGGGAGTTTAGGGAATAGGGTGTAGAGGTGTAGAGCGTCCGGAATAGGACTTAGTGTCTAGGGAATGTAAAGTCTAGGGCGCAGGAACAGGATTTCAAGTTTAGGGCAGTTTGGCCATGCATTGACAGATCCGAAGAGTCCAGTGTCCTCTGAAGACGCCAGCTTCACAAAGGTGGTCGCCTTCCAGAACCGCAACCCCATCCATCGTGCTCACTTTGAGCTCCTGATCTGTGCCCAGATCCTTGGCTTTCCGTGTATTTCCGGCACTTGCAACTTCTTGGGGACGTACATTCCCTAGGGGGGAGTTATATCGATCTATGATGATGTTGATGATCTGACCTATAGACTTTTCTGGGCCTTTGTCTGCACACATGTATGTCTACACACGTGCACACAGATGACCAAAGCAGTTACGGACCAGTCAAAACCCCACTTTCTAGGAGTCCCGCATCCTCCGAGCAAGAGCGGCAGAGCTCTTAAGTTCCCGCCCTCGGCGGACGGCCAAAACTAAAGCATCGCACCGTCCAACCCAACAGCAGAAGTGGTCCGTTGTCCGATCAGCTCAATCGGTTCGTCGAGAGTCCACAGCATTCAACATGCAAAAGGAAGGTTCCAAACCGTGCACCGATCATACACTTCAGGCCCGACATGGTATATGAATCGCTTGAGCCTTGCACTCTTGTTGCGGCTTGTTTGAAGCTTGGGGTTTCCGCTATCCAACTTGATGACTCAGCTTCGCCATTGGGGGTGTGTGGCATCAGTTCTTTTGGTTTGCAGCCTGCCAAAGCTGAACAATTGGGTCTGCTCTGCAGGCTTTCAGAGAGAAGGACAGAGCTTGACCTTGCTTGTGTGTGGGGTCAGAAGGCTGCTGTTGTGACGCTCAGGGCTCACGGTCTAGGTCTCAGTTGGGTTCAGTGTTTAAGGTTTCTGTTCCTGATCCTGAACTTTCTACTCCTTGTTGTGTTGCGTCTATCTGCCTTGCGAGTGCCAAGCGCCATGCAGTCGAGGAAGGATGTGAAGGACTCGATCCTGCTTGTCCATCCCACGTGCGGACCCACCCAGCCGGGCGACATCGATGGCCTCGTGCGCATCCAGACCTATGAGGCCCTGAAGACGGAGACCGAGAAGGAGTACCCCATGCTGCTCAACCTGATTCGAGGTATGGGGCCCTTACCTGGACCCCACAAGTATGTAGAAGAATAGCCCTTTATGAGTATTGGGCCGGGCCATTATTCTACCTACTTTGGGGGGGGGTTTAGGTAAATGCAATCATACACGAAGATGTTGCACATCCTTGGAGCAATTTTGCCGAGCAGTTAGCATCTTCGGTTGAGGTGTCGACTGAGAGGCTAAGTTTCAGGAGTCCCACGACCAGGATCCAGTCAGCAGCTGCAAAGCTTTGCTGTTAGCCATTAGGATTATAGCAACTCTGGAATCTTCCGTGCGGAATTTGCAACTTATTTCCGAACTTTCGCTTCGAACGGTGAAGGTTCCGCTGGGCCTACTTGCCATACAGCATGAAGATGGCTGGACCTCGCGAGGCTCTCCGTGCTTTCAGGTTTGGCGGGGATCTGCCTTGTTCCCTGTTGGGGGGATTAAGCCAGTTTACGTTCTCCGGTTCTGGTAGGATCTAGGATTCAGGATTTGTTGCACAGTGCGTGTTTACAGACTCACGTAGCTTCGCACTTCCGGTTTTGCTTCAAGTCGTAGCTAGAAATTAATGCTTCCACATGATCTATCAAAGCATACTCCTCGCAGTTCATCTTAGTAAGGCCATCCAGCACATGATCATCCGGAAGAACTATGGTGCCACCCACTTCATCATCGGGCGTGACATGGCCGGCACCAAGCGCCTGAAATGCTCTTGGGAAACTTTTTCTGGCTGCATCCCATCAACTTTTTATGCCGCAGGCCTAAACCTTAAACTACCCGAACCATAAACACGACTAAGGAGCACCATTGATGGTGAGGACTTCTACGGACCCTACGATGCCCAAGAGACTGGCAAGAAGTACTCCGCCGAGCTCGGTGTGACTGTGACCCACTACGAGAATATGGCACCTCGGCCACAGTTTCGTCACACCCCAAGTAGAGCGAAACTCCAGTTACATAAGCCCAAGCAGTTCCAGCACTATCTTCCAGAAACAGGTCAGCTCAGCTTACAAACGGAGCGTGAGAATCTCATCGTTATGACGTCTTGTTATTAGCATGCTTGCTTGCTTGCACCACCTTGAGTGAACGACACAGAAAAGATGCTTGCGTGTTGCAAGATTACACGAGAAGCCAGATTCCATCAGCAAGAACGGAGTTAAGGCTCAGACCAGTTTTGAGAACTAAGCCGCGAATACTTGAACCCGTAAGCCCCAAAACCCTTGAGACCCTGAACCGTTAAACTACGGTTGATGATATAAGTCCTGCATTACCCAGAAAAATTGCATGTCAAGGTTTTTCAGGTAATGCGGGGTTTATATCATCAACCGTAGGGGCCCTCAGCGGAGGTTTACGTCGGCCCGGAGGAAGGCTACGTCCAGGAGAGCGTGGCCAAGAGCAAGGGCTCCTTGGCATAGGGGCCTTAACTTCTAAGGGATCCTATGAGGGTTCGTTTAAGGGGATCTATAAGGGTTTAGGGGTTGAGGTATCTTCATAATTATCTACATTATTTTGGGGTTCCGTATATTATAGCTATACTATAGTGGGTCCAAAAGCCCTATTCTAAGTGTTAAGGCCCCTATAGTAGGGGCGTTACAGCGTCATGGAAGCCTCTCGTAGCATTTTACAGAGTCATTGTAGGGCGTCAACATGCTGTTTTCTGGGGTTTATAAAGCCTCTCTGTCGGTTTTTATCACGGTATGAGAACGCTTAAGACAACGGCTGTCAAGTTAGAGCCGAAGGGTTCGATTGGAGCAGGGAGCGGGAGGGTAACGGTTCTAGCGTCTAGGGGTCAAGCAAGCAGGGGTTCAGGGCAGTTTAGGGTTTGAGGTTTGAGGAATTCGAGGGTTTAGGGGCTGTAAAGCTTTTGTTTGGGGTATAAACTGGAAGGAAGAAGAAGTAGGCTTTACAGAATGATGCGCCGGGTTAGGATTGAGAGATCTAAGGGTTTGCGACTGGGGTTTTGCGCCTGCAGATTCAGTGGGTTTGAGAACTGGCAGTCATCAAGCGAATACACACCATCAGCCAGCAGCAGATCTGCCCCAAGAACTGCGACGGCCAGACATATGCTAGCCACTGTGGCAGTTGTTGAAGTGTTCGTCTGATCGTTTTCTTCGTGGTGGCTAGTAGCTGCAAAGGGAAAAACAAAGGTGCAGCAGCAGGTAGCAGAAGCAGTGCTAGAAAGGATTCCCAGTATGCTTGCAGCAGCACCGCCAGAAAAGGAACATGTAAGCCGTTATTGTCTGATTATGGTGATGTTTGTGATGGCGATCAGATTCGTCATTGTCAGAAGCTTTACGGACATGATCAGGTTCATCGTGCGTGCCACGTGCTGCTGCCTTCTTTCATGATTCATCAGCATATAGTTCTGCACACCCTCGCCCGGGCTTCCGGCTTGTAGGTGTCATAACTCCGTCATAACCTAACCCCGACATCTTCAGCCAAAGCTCAACAACACCTTATTTTGGGGTCCTTATGCTAATGATCCTACTATTTTAAAATTTAGGGTGCTATATTAGGGCCCCCTATGTTCGGAAACTCCCAATTCTGAAGCCACCGGCTCGGCCTGGGAAGCCGAGGCTACAAGGTGGTGAAGCTCTCCGGCACCGAGTTCCGCCGACGCCTCCGGGCTGGCGAGGACATCCCAGAGTTCCTTGGCCTTTCACCAGGATGTTGTGGTCACCCACACCAGAATAAAGTCTTGCAGGAGTGGCTGCATGAGCTATATCTGTTTGTATATACATGTCAACATGTATGTATATGTATATGCATTCGTCTCTCTGCCTGTCTGTGCTCATGCCTGCATGCAGGCATGGATGTTTATGTGTGCACATCATATAATATATCTATACAGCGTGCGTGCATGCCTGTCTTTATGTCTGTCTGTATGTATGTATGTACGTATTTGTTGTATGTACGTACCGTATGTATGTTTCATTATGTATGTGTTGTATGTATTGTACTGTATGTATTGTATTGTATTGTATTGTATTGTTTCGATTGTATTGTGTATTGTCGGTTTGAGAATGTAACGTAACGTATGCAGGTACGTTTATACACAGGTGGGGACACATCCTAGCGCCGAGTCTTGGTGCCCCGGTAGACGGTACGATTTTTCGGGATGACTAGACCCCCCCGGCAAACCCTATGCTCAGCCGAATCGAAGCCATGCCTGTGTTGTGCCAGTGCGTGAGTCGAGACCCTAAGCCCTTAAGCCCTAAACCTTAAAACCCAAAGTCCTAAAACCCAAAACCCAAAGCCATAAAGGGACTGCTGTCCGACAGTTGGTTTCTCCAACCCACAGCTCTTCTTCCCCCAGGTTTTGGAATAATTCTAAACCCTCGACCCATTTCTTCTAGCTAAGTGGGAGGCAAAGAACTCTAAAACGGTGTAGGGCTTATAGGGCTTAGGGTGAACATGACAGGTGGTTCGCATTCAAGTCGGTGGTGGACATCCTCCGAAAGGCCGGAGACAGCGCCTTTTGCGCTTAGGCCAGGTTTTGGCATCTTGCACAGCATCGCTTAGCCTGTGCACAATACCGACCCAATGTGGTCTCGAAGCACCACACCTGTGAGGGCTCCCCCAAAACCCTAAACCGAAACTCCCCTTTTTTAAAAACACCCCACAGCCCTAGATCGCTAGAAAACGGAAGCCTTGACACACCAAGCTCTAAATCAGCCGTCCTACATCATGCCCCGATACTGAAGCTGTTGAAGCGGCCATCATCAAGAGACTTGGCGGGCTCCAAGCCCAAGTAGCTGTAGTCTCCGGAGAAGATGGTTCGCAACATGGCCTGCGGTCGTCTCTGCCCCAAGGAGCCAGACGGTCGTAGGATCATGTGTCAATCCTTCCGCCATCGTTACCTATGTCATTGCCGTGGCCGGTGTCGCTTGCTCACAAAATGCGATGCAAGCGACAGGCTCTGCAATCTTTCCCAAGAGTCTCCATCCTAGGGTCATACGGTGCTCAAGAACCCAATCCCCAATCGCAACCTTACATTCGAGACTCAATAACTAGCTTGAACCCAACACTAATGTACTCTTGTTCTGTGGGCACCAGTTTTGCCTTTTCCTCCATGTGGCAGTCGGCTGCCCAATTTGCTCCGAAGCCTTCATGCGCGAGCGAGAAAAGCTCCCACATCCGGTTTGGGTCAGTTGGTATTTTGGGCTTAAGGTTTCTAAGGTCTACGGGACTGCTGAGAGGTACTGTGGAGGAGAAGAATCTTATTGGCATGTGCGGCAGTTATAATGTGATGATGTGTGATGGCATCCTGCGCCGTGGTGGCATTTACAGGCTGAGCACTCCCCCCTACCGACGAGCCTCATTATTTTGGTGTTTGCGGCTTTTCTCTCATGTAGTGTTTAACATGCGGAGCTCCTGGACACACTCCCGCGGAGGCCGTGTGGTGGAGGTTCATGAACGGTTTTGCCTTCACATAGAGAGAGTGGGGCCAGACTGTGTTTCAGTCAAGGCGAATTTTACTTGTTTGGAAGGGTGCACGAAATGATATTGCTGCTGAGTGTCCGATGCGCAAACCCTATGTGTCTCATTATGGTGAAAAGTTCGACAACACATTCCTCGATACTTTGTCAGACTGTTTTTTGACTCTGCATTCCCCGATCCAGAGGATCCTCAATAGCAGTTTCGGTTTCGCGTTTAGTATTCGAGATCAGCGTTTTCCTTGATAGGGGGCCCAACCACGTCTTTGCAATCGGCTATTGCCCTGGCGCTTCCGATGCGAAATTCATCACATGTGAGCCTAATGCCAGAAACACCTCGAAGCTTTGACATCCTACATCCTACAAGCGGAATCCTTCTCTTGTTACTCACGCCGTTACTGCCGTCTCAAAACCCCCAAACCATACCTAAACCCTCCACCCTAAAACACATATTTGGCCTTAGCACCTAAACTTCTCAAACGTGCCTAATCACCAAACCCTAAACTCATTCTTTAGCCTATGTACTTACGCCCTTAAACCCAAGACCGTAGGTCTTGTTGGGTAGGAGGAAAATACCGTGGACAACAAAGGAAGGGGTTTAGGGCTTAGGGTCTATGCGTAAGGCGCTTTTTGAACTCCTCATCGACTCTCCGACTGTTATCTGGGTTCTGTCATGCCATACTTTCTCTCTTGCTTTGGGGCCTGTTCCTGGTTTTCTCTTCCTGGTTATTGTCAGAGTCTAGTGTTTCCTGGCCAGGCACTTCAACCAGAGCTTCGCAGCCACGCAGTCAAAAGTGAAGCTACAGCGATTTGGTGGATTTGGGGTTAGCAGGTTGAGGACTCTAAGACTCACACGGTGTTGGTATCCTGCACGCAGCCTAAAGCCCTTGTCAAAAATTGCTTCGTTCCTCGTATTGTCTGTTCAGGATGAAGGGTTGAAGCATGTGACGAGCTGTCCGGCCCGAAGATTTGCGTACACAACGCGTTGGGCCGTCCAAGTGCAAGAACATGAAGGTAATGAAGCAGACGCTCATAGCATTCGAAGGGCTCCCGTGCTAGCTGCTAGTGAGTCTGCTAGGCTTGGCTTTGCTGCGAAGCTTCCAAGAGCCCTGAGTCCTCGATTGGCAATCTTGTGACAGCATTTGGGAGTTTCCGAAAACAGGGAGTACCTTATTTTGGGGTCCTTAAAAGAAGGATCCTACCATTTGGGGTTCTATACTAGGGTCCCTTATTTTCCCATAAACATGAGAGCCCTTGATTTCGGTTTTTTACGCCTAAATTCCCAAAAAAATACAACCTGTGTCTGCGGTACTCTAGGCCCTCAAGCTTCCACCCAAACTTCGTGCCGAAGCTTGAAAGAAAGAGTAAGGCCCCCATATTGGGAGTTAGGATTAGGGGGACCCTCGGGGATATAGACCCTTTCAATAAGGTCCCTTTTAAGAGAGCCAGAAGTAGGGTTCGGAATGGATATCCTTTAGGGGGTCTCCCTCATCATGCTACCCAAATATCACCAAACAAACTGCCATGACTATGTTCATGACTCCTGAGGCTATAATTAATGATTGTTGTTGGAAGTCTTCCGTCTCAGATTCCCCCACCAGCTACCCCACCTTTCTTTGAGCCCTTTGAAAGAGGCTCAACGCGCGTCGGCGGTTTTCCCAAGGGCACTTTCCGCTTCTCCAGCCATGGCCGCCGTCGTGCGCCGACTCGGGGCGTCTTCCGTGACCCCGCTCCCCTGCCTAGCTTAAGGGCTTACTGTATAAGGCTAATTGACTCAGTAGTTTATGGGTTAAGGGCTTAGTCAGGGGGTTAAGGATGAGGGTTCAGGGTTCGACACCCTAACTTAAGGGCTTACTGCTTAAGGCAAATTGACTCAGTAGTTTATTGGTGAAGGGTTTACCCAAAGGCCCCAAACTAGTTCCTTTTTGGGGTTCATATATAGACGCCTATAAGGTAATCCGCCTATCGGTGGTCAGCGGGTTTAAAAATGAGGGTTCAGGGTTCGATACCCCCTAAACCCTTACACCCTAAACCGGTTAAGGGTTTAGTCAGGGGGTTAAGGATGAGGGTTCCGGGTTCGAAACCCTGAGCCCAGGCCAAGGCGTACTTTACTTTTAGCCACTCTGACTTGAATCCCCTCTTTAAAGGTTCCTTTCAGGGTTCCTCTAGAGGGTTTAGGGGTTTAGGGTTAATGGGTTAGGGTTTAGGGGTTTAGGGTTCCTCTACCCAGACCTCCGGGAGCCAAGTCTTTAACGACATGGGAGTTTCTCATAATAAGGATCCTACTATTCAGGGTGCTATATTAGGATCCCCTATTTTCGGAAACTCCCACATTGTTCTTTCCATCCAGTTTCTCATCGCTCGGCTACATTGAAGCCGTAAAGCTCGCAAAAATCTGGAGCCACAATGGCCCCAACTAGAGTTGCGTTAACAAGCCTTGATATTATAGCAGCCCCTCAACACTCCCGCCCAGGGTGCCACACTGGGAGGGAGCAGCAAAACCACTGCCAGCACCAAAATCAGAAGAGCACCCAAAACAATGGGTTTAGGATTCTAGGGGTCTAGTGTTTAGTCTCCTTTCTGATAGTGCCGTTGCTAAAGTCGTCAGCGTGAGTGTGTAGCCACGAGTGCTACGACATTTGCCCTTCCCCGGGAAGACTCCAAGAGGCCTGGATGCAAAAAACGGTAGTACACCAGCCTGACACTTTAATAATACTGTCGTGCCATCTGCAACATCTCTAGCCAACATACCAAAAGGGTCCGTGAATAGTGTGAATATGGCATATAGACCTCCAGAGCCACACTCAGCATGTTTTGCGGGACCTAGTTCCATAATACCAGGACGCCATGTAACTTTGTCATAGTTGGGTGACATTTTACATGTTTATGGGTACTTAAACCCAAGAAGGAATAGAAATGTACATGTTTAATCCTATCCCAACATTGATCTAGGTGTTTGCAAAAACAGTCCAGGAAGCTGAGCCTGACTCTTCGAGCCAGCAGCCTGCCTCGGCAGTTCTCCTCTCTGCCTCCTGGCTCTCTCGGGATCCAGAAGGGCTCTTTAAGGTTGCATTTTTTGAGGGGTTTCTGCGCGGACTGTAGTGGTGTGCTTCTAGGTGATGATGGTCCCAGCATGGTTCTTTGAGGGGTTTGATTCGTTTACTACAGGATCTGGTTCATCTCGGGAGGGGACCACTCAGTCTGGTTGCGCCCCATCAGGGCCACCCAGTGCCACCTAAGGCAGAGCAAGGTGGATGATTTCTGCAAGCACGTGGACCTTCACCTTCCAAAGGATGGTTACTTGGCAGAGCTTGCAAGAACTCATCCCCTTTGCTTTTGGTAGGTTCCTGAGTAGTACCCTTTATATTCTTTCGGGTCTCCTTACTGTGATTGAATAGCAGGGAGGGTGCAAGAACTCATCCCTTAAGTTGTCTCCCTTTTAGCAGGGTTTAGAGTCTAGGGTTGAGGGTTCAGGGCTTTTAGGTTCATGAGTAGTACCCGTTTTCCCTTTTTAGTTAAGGGTCTCCGCATAAAAACTGAATAGCAGGAAAAGGGTACCCTTATTCTTTGGGGGTTACTGAGGAACCTGATTTTGGTAGGGTTTCGTTGAGCTCAGTCTGTGCAAGTCTGTTGTCCAGCCCCTCAGGAACCGTTCTTCCTGAGGCCTGCACTCAAGTTACCCTTCATGCAGCAAGTCGCAAGCCCATATACTGGCATCAAGAGACCCTGTAATACCCAGAGAGCCCCGCACCCCCTGTTGGAGGAATTTCCTACTTGTAGAACACTGAGAAGCCGAGCAGCCCCGTAGACTCTACGATCCATGTCGGCTCCTTAGTCCACAAGGTTTCTGCCTTAACTAAGGGCTCGCGCGCTTCTTTCGGAGTTCGGGTTTAAGGTAGCCCAAAGGGTCCAAGTATCAATCTGGTGTATACTTATAGGGTATTTTGGGGGTCTAAGTATATACCATAATGATAATTGATTATGACTCAGGAAAGAAGGTGGTCTTCGCAACAGCCTGGCTTGCCACTGACAATGTGTTCGTCGCACTCATGCGGAAGCACTTCCCTGCATCCTGATTGAAGAACCCGAAGCCTGTGAAAGGGAGACCCGCATATCCAAGGGTTCAAGCAAGTCCCGTCAACTCAATTGGGACGGATCTTCTACCCATAAGCTTGAAAAGAGGTATGAAGGAATCTCGACATTGCTTTTCTGCCTTTGCCTTTTTGCGTGGGGAAACTTGGCATTTGTGTCGTGAGTCTTGAGCGCTATAGACTGCGCGTCGTTGCAAAAGGATGCGTGTTTAGTGAAAGAAGCTATTGCTGGCATACAGTTGCTGTGGCCCAGATAAGTTGCTATGACTGCGATGTGCAGTTTCGTCACACCCTGAGGGAAAAGGCTTCCGGATTCTGCAAAACGAAACTTTTTAGAAGGCGTCGTGCGATGAGTTCACGAAAAACAAGACCCAACAGCGAAAAGTCCAATCTGCAGAACTTGAAACTCGAGTCTCAAGATAAATGGGGTACACAGTTCAGGGCGGCAAGACTGTGTAGGGTGTTGTTCAACTCACCATTCGACTTAAGGCTAGACTTAGCCCACACCCGAGGAGGTTTTGACTGGGATGAATCTCGTTGCCATTGACACGTTGCACCTCTTCCCGACGACTCTCGAGTGTGCCAAGCTGGTTGAGGAGAAGTACGCCAAGAAGGCCGAGCCTTTCAAGATGGTGCCTTTTAAGAAGAAGAACAGCCATTGACAGCAATAGCAGTAATATTCATGATTCAGACTGCAAATGCCAAGAAGGTACAATCCTGACAGCCACCCGTGGCTCCGACGTCACTGTCGTTGTTCTTGCTGTGGCCGGTGAAAACGGCTTTCCTGAACATGATTTCGACTGCCATCACGCTGATACTCGAATTTGCTTCCGCCTCGAATGTCTGACCCTCTTTTATATCCTTCTCATTTATGTCTAAGTGGCCGCGCGCATGCAAACTGTGGATCTACGACTGTTTCGAGCTGATTTCGCCCTTCCACACCCAGAACCCTGAGCATGTTTCATTTTGAATCCTAGGGCTTGTTCAGTCTTTCGTGGGATTTAGCATGCGATTGCTTCCAGCTTTCTTTGCCGCGCAGGCAATGTGGAAGATGCCGAAGGGGATCACGACAAAGGACTCCAAGCCTCAACCCTCAAGCTCTCCAATACTGAAATCCCCCACCCCGGCCCTCCTCCCCAAGCCCAAGCCTCAAACCCCGCAAGCCGACAAAAAAAAGCAAATAACCCTACCAGCGAACCCGCCTGCTCCTTAAGTTCCTACGTGACGAATCTTTCTCAACATCTTAGGAGAACTTAGGCCTGAAACCACCCCAGCTCCTTTGCCATAGTATACAGTGGCATCCAAGACTTCGACAGTCTGTCCCTATGTAAGTGTGTATGTCTGTATGTGACTATGATACCAAAAAGCATCGACAGAAGTGCGCAGAAGGCAAATCCAGCCTGTGAGAGAGGACGAGTTCATTGCCAAGTACGGCGACTGCGAGGAGCTGGACTCTGCCGATTTCGACTTCGTGAGCAAGGCTTGCATTTCTTAGGGTGTCAGGGTTGGGGTTTTAGGGCAAAGGGTTGAGGGTCAAGAGTTTAGGGCCTAGGGTCTCTTAGTAGTAGAGTAGGTAACCCTTAACCTGTTTGGGGTACTAGAATCCCTACATAATCCCAAAGGTGAACCTTCAGGTCTGGCGGGTGGAGGGATTTCGCTGAAACAGTTCGAGAACACTTCGGGGTACTTAAGACATGATTCTGAATTTTGGATGATTCTTATAATCCTTCAGAGACAGCCAAAGTTGCTGTTGTTCGCTGGAATCCAAAGCTCAGCATAAAACAAAGAAGAGATCGCACAGGTGGAGCCTTTCCAGCGTGCTTTGGAGGAGAGCGCTACATCGCATGCTATATCTCCCGGCCCGGTCCTTTCAGATAGCTTCGCACACGAAAATTACTACTATAATTTAATTTTCATGCGATATACCATGCGCAATGTTTTCTCTGCCCGATGCTGTTGCTCTCTCGTGAGGAGTGTGAGAAGGACATCTTGATTACCGGCCGCCGCATGGACCAGGCGGCACAGCGCATCAAGCTGGATGTCTGGGAGGATCAGAAGCGCACCTGGGCACGTCTGTGAGGGCCGATTTTAAGCGTAGGCTTGGGGTGCGGTACGTGTGCTGTTTCAAGCGTGGCTCGTGTGTTTCATGGTATGCAAGACGGCAGCACTCTTGACCGGGGATGAGTCATGCCGTGGTTATCTGGCACTGCACGCAGGTGGTCAATGTAGCAATGCAGAAACCTCATTGCTACAGCTAAAAATCTCACGCCCTGGTTGTAAACCCGCAACCTTAATTAGCCATAGAACCCTTTAACCCAAGCCCTCACTGTGATTAGGACCTAACCTGGAGCCCTAAACCTGTGCTGCCAAGCAACAGCCGACCATGAGAGCCATTGCATGACGAAGCCATCCCTGGGGAATCTGAAACGCTCTGTTGTTTAAGGCAGGTCAGAGGGTCACGGAGCCCCTCTTGCACTCCTAACAACTAATATGGAACCCAGACCCCTGAACCGTGCCTATACCCCCAAAGGGTCCAAAGTACATGTATATTAGAATGTAGCGATTCTATGTTAGGAATTACATTTATGATCTGGGGAAGCATCCCCAATAACAATACCTAGGGCCCTTTGGGAACACGCTGTAACCCTAGTCCCCATACCGTTCTTGTCCCAGGCACTCTGAATCCCATGGCGAACTTCAGCTGGCAGGACATCATCGACTACGTAGACAAGGACTGTGCAAAGCTGAAGTTGACCTAGACCCCCCCCAACTACCCCGTATTATACCTTAAATACCCACTATTGAGGACGATAAGACCCTAAATGCCCCTTCATTAAGGAATATAGCTGAAGTCACAATATGAAGCCCCATATAAGTTAAGCCATATTCCGTAGTTACGTGGTATTGGGCTCTCTGGGAAGCTGAGAGTGTCAGCTTTGCATTGTAGAGTCTGGATACAGTGATGAAGTGTTTCCTTCATGGGAGAAGGTCAGTGCCTATTTGTCTCGCGGTTTGCAAAGCTGAAGCTGGGAGCTTAACCTTGTACCAAGCTTCGAAACGCTGTAGATCTAAATCAATCACTCGCGGAGCAACGTGCCCTAAAACCTCCTACTAGTAAGTCTAAATCCTACAGTCCCCAACACTGCAGGCAAAGCACCCAAGACACCCGACCAGGAGGGTGTGCCAGTGAACGCTGGCCATAACTGGGCCTTCCGCTGCGACGCGCCTATCGAGGCGACCAGCCGCCATCTCCCTGACCTTCCGTGGACCAAGGTGGGCAAATTGCGAGCATACTTCGTGCCGTTCGTTCGGGGGTTGAGGGACTCTGGTTTAGGAGGCTTTGAGATTACCGCCGGATTTTCATTTGTTCTTATCCTGAACATATGGTTGCAAGCTGAATATTTTAAGCTGCTGCCCGTATATCCTTCGCACCCGCACCTTAAGCGGAGAGGAAGTGTACACTGCTGATGTTGTTACAACATCGGGCATCATCCACACCATATGGAGCAACGTTCCATGTTTCCCAGAGTTTAAGACATCGCCGAATTTTGTCCTTCCTGCATATGTAACGAGGCTTGCGGGAGGCCGGGTCGTTTGTTCTGGGGTCTTAAAGGATATACCACGGTTGAATAGCGAGTTGTAAAGTTTGGCTTCTCGAGTCTGGAGTGCACGACTTTTTTTGCTTGTCTTCTTCTCTGACTGTAGACTCCTAGACCCCTCCAATGGTGTGATTGCTCAGTAAAGGCCATGAGGTTTACGCTGTACTTGGGGGGTTGCTGCTGGCTTTTTTCTCTCGCAACGACTCCTCAGACCCTTTAGAATCTTTAGAACCCTGGAGCTATAAAATTTGCATCTCCGAGACCCTCAACCCACAGTAATCGAGTGAATCTTTTCAGGTTGACCTTGGAAAGCCTTTCTGGCGATGCACGGACGCGGAGATCAAGGGAAGCCCAGCCGCCCCGATCACCTACGTTTTCAAGTCCTTCGGTGACATGCCGCTTAGCCATGTAAAGAGGGTTGCATACTGTGTTAGTGCCGTTGCTTGTTCGGTCCAGAAGCCAGGGACATAGCAGGGAAGTACAACGCAAATCAAAACCACACAACTGGAAACCTCTTCTTTACCCTACTAAATGCGGCAGTGAGATGGACTGACAACCAGCACTTTCCGCTTCAGCGGTTCCTTCAGAAATCGCTCTCGGACTTGAAACTCCACCAAACCCCTATAACATCTAAATCATTAAACCCCTACACCCCTAGACCCCATAATTAAACCCTAGCCTCCTAACCCCCGAACCTTAAATCACTGAAATCCTAAACCCGAAGCCCCTAAACCCTAAACTCGTAACCCCTAAAGCCCTAACTCAAAATAGATACGGCTCAAGCTGTGGGCCCAAAATCTTGACTCATCTACGCTGCCAACTATGCCGAGAGGCGTAGTTCAGGGCTTCAATCCCTACCAGTCAATCCTCTGATCCTGCAGCGTGTCGATTTCTGTGCGGCGCTGCAGCGGCTGCGAGCAGGGGCACGGCCGCGAGCTTGGGTTGGCTCACGGTCGCGCCTCCTTGCGATGTGGGCGGCAGATGTGGAGAATTCGCGAAAAGGTCTTCTTACACTTCGCGAATCTTGAATGTCGTCCGAGATCTACATGCTCAACGCTGTCAAACTCTCCGTGAAACATGTGGGCGTCGGGCAGATTGGTCCCACCAACGGCAACACCCATTCTCATCCCCCAAATCCGGCCCCCATCCCCAACGTAATCTGCCTCGATGATGATGCTGTCACGGATCTGGATGAGACTTCTGAGTCACAGATTCCCGCCCCCACAATTGTCAGTCATAAGCTTAACTCCAGTGCACGGATCCCCTGATATTCTACCGCATTACGAGTGTAGCACACCCACTAGGCCACCTGATGAGCCATGGCATTTAGCTTGCCATGATTTTCCACCCGAGCCACCTCTTGCGTCCTGTTGAGATTCACGCTTTCAAGCTTTTGTTGAGACCCGAATCCCCCTGTAAAGAAGATATTCTGAATCTTTTCTGTATGATTCCTCGATCCCACGTATGCCATACCCAAGCTGGGTTGAATATTGTTAGCGGTGTTTCTCCTAGGACTCCGGATTTGTGGGTTGACACGCAGCTCTGAAATTCCCTTCATGTGTATGGCAATTAACAAACTTGTGGCTCGTCCTTGCCCTACACACTTGTACTCCACTTTCGGAATCCGTAGGGGATGCGTTTCCACAGCTCACAGAGACTGTCGTAACGGACCGGCGCCTCGCAGCATTATCGCCCTCACCCCAGGCCAGAAAGGTAAAGGTCTCTGGCTTGTTGCGCTGCTCACCCCTGGCAGTCTGCTGCGTGCAAAGGAGAGGCATTGCACAGCCTCGAAAATGTGATTTCCACACTGTTCCGGAATGTGAAGCAGCATCCAGCTTGTCAGATAGACCTTCAAGTTTGGAGCGAAGTCACGTCAGAACCACTCGTGAGTTCTTTGGCGGTTGCCAAGACTAGATGGCTGAGCCAGTTAGCTCCAATCAAGAAGTTGTACGTACAACTTCAATGCTCTGTTAGCTAACCTCCACTATGCTTTCTCGCACCACTGCGAGAAGGAAAGCAAGAACACTGTGAGATGGATGTTTTTGCTATTGTGCGCATGGCCGACAAAGGTGTTGTTGGCAGCCGTCGTTGACATCCTTTCCCTTTGCAGTGCCTGCAAAAACTCGTTAGGAGGTGGCATGTCCCTGGGTGAAGTTGCGACCAGTGTGAGCAGGCTGCTTTTAACACTGCTTTTCCTGTTTGAGCAATGCGGGAGACTCTGCAGGCCCAGGCGCGGATTGGTTTTGATGATTGCATGATTGCTTGCCGTGCCAATAAGGTTGAAATGTGAATTGGCCCGGTACTGTGAGAAAGAATCTGTGAGCGCCTATGCCCTGGCAACACACTCGGGGGAAGCAGCTGCTGGGAAAAGCAAGATTGAAGAGTGTTGCGCTGAATATCGAAGAGCAATGCGGGGGTCCAAGCTTCGGCTTCGATACGAGGTTATTGGTGGCAGTTTCAAGGAATGCTGGCACGAAATGAAGGATTTTGGGTCACAACTGTTTCGGACAATACGTTCCTGCACAGAACAGACGGAGAACTTAGTGGTGCGGTTTGGTGATGTGCCTTTGGTGCTGGCTCACCAAATATTTTCCTCCACGATGGTCCTTCAAGCAGCAAGAGCTGGTGGAAAGCGTAAAAGCGCTTGCAGCATTTTGGAAGGTGGATGAGCAGGTGCTGGTGAGTCAAGTTCCAGCAGCCTTTGCCATTCGGGACTCTTTGATCTCAGAGGACAGCACTCTCAAGACGGCAGGATCCACGGAGGTGTGGCTTCGAGTTTTGTCCCAAATGACCAGCAGTGAATGCGATGCCGTGGCACGTGACATCATCGCCTCGTTCTGGGTTATTCAACCACAAAGCGCTGCATGTCAGCGCGCTTTCGCAACTGTTGAGGAGTACAAGGACCTATCTGAGCCAGATAGTGCTGTTCTTGGACTTTGCTTGTGGCCCGCTCCAAAGGAAACACCTGGGATGCGGTTCCACGGCGCCACTCTTGCAACAACAGTTGCTGATCGGAGCATGCGCAAGGCCTGTGAAGGAAGCCAGGGCCAGCGGCTTCATCAAAAGGGTCCTAGGCAGGTTCAATGCCACAGAGCGACGGACGGCTTTGCGCCGGAGTCGTGCTCCAACGAGCGACAAGGGGAAGCCTCGGCTAAACTACAAACGCAAGAGGCGCGTCGCTCAGCTCAGACAATCCAACAAGGCCAGACTTCTTGTGCGAAGTGGGGATGCTTTTGTGCAGATGGTGGCAACTGACAATGTGCAGCTTTCCGAGATTTAAGCGGAATGGCTCCGCTTAAGAAAAAGGAATGATGGACTGCCGGATCCCTGACATTGCGGTCTTGAGTGTCAGTCCAAATTGACTGCACCGGGACAGACAGCTGCTTTGGGAATCTGAGCTCGAACAAAAACAGCAAAAAACACAGTGCATCTGAGCATCTGCTTCTTCTGCTGCTGTTACCACGACCACTACGACGACGACGACGACGACTACTACTACTACTACTACTACTGCTGCTGCTGCTGCTGCTGCTACCGCTACCACGACGACTTACCACTCCTGCTACTATTCTTAGCCACACAGCCCTAAGCCTGCTAATTTTGAATTTGAAATTGAATGGCGACCACTACGGAAATTATCCACGACGTCACCCGCCTAATTTCAAATTGTAGTTATTCTAATTTCTGCAGTTGATAAAGTGTCCTACTACGGCGTATTCGGTGGTTCTAACTTCGGTTGGGTGCTTTTGCAACGGGCCGTCTGTAGGAAAGCTGTTACTCGAAAGGAGACCTCTGTTAGTCTGCTGTACCCGGGGATCTCGAGTAGGCGTCTTTCGTGGCCCAGCTTCTGTTTGTGGTGTGCAAGTAAAGTCGACTCGAGTGAACCGACCCAGTTGTCAATGCGAACCAAGAGACTTCGTCAGGCTTGTCCGAGTTGCAAGAGCGTAAAGCCGTGACTCCGTGCGCAACTAAAAATCCTAAACTTCTAAGCCCCTATATACACCCTTAAACTACTAGACACCAAAACTTCTAAACCCCTTAGCCCCTACACTCCTAAGCCGCTAAACCCTAAACCCCTCAACAAGTGGTGAATGCATATGCATGTACATACCAATAATTTAATGCATGGGCATGAGCACGTACATACCAATGCAGCAAGCCCGCTCCACGCAAAGCATCACGTCTCACACACTTGTCCAGCTCCACATCTAGCCAGCTAGTATTCCACAGTTTAGAACGAGGCCAATAGGTCGCCTTCGCAGTCGATATTAAGTCGACACTCAGGGTCATCTTTGAGGATGACTCTATCCTCTAGTACCGCTGAGTCTCTGTATGGTATACCGTGGTACTGCACACTATCCTTTGCTAGCTTCTGAACCTATCGATGTGATCTACATTTTTGTTTGGACTCAGTATTCTCGGAGTCACTGTTTTGCTTAATTGCTGTAGGATTCTGAGAGTCACTTTAAGTGTTGTTATACACTTGTTGCTTGTATTTGGCCGTCTCTCCTAGTGCAGTCTCACTCAACAAACTCCGAACCACATGCCTCGCTCAACCCCATGAAAGACCCGTAAACCCCTGAAACCCATCAAGACAAAAAAACAAACCCCCAAACACCTAAGCCCAGGCACACCACCGTGCCCGTCGAACCCCACGAGTCCGAGCGAGCCGGACGCTTCGTGCGCCAGGCGGCCGATTCTCTCTCGGGTTTAGGGCTGTGGGGTTTTGGGGGTTTAGGATTTGTAGGGCTTTGGGGTTTAAGGTCCAGTCTTTAAAATGCTCAGGGTTCCACAGGGTTGTAGGGTTGTGGGGTTCATGGCTTTGGGGGTTCGGGGATTTTGACAATTAAATTCAGCCTTGATGCAGCAGGATGCCGGACAAGTCCTAATGCAAAACAAGTTTCTGGTAGCGGGTAGCGTGTTGTAGCAGGATTTTATGAAAGCTTTATACGTTTACGAGGTTCCTGTCAGGGTTCTTTCAGGGATCCAGGTAGGGTGTTAAGGTTATGTCCAGGGTTTTACTGTTAAGGGTTCTATCAAGGGGGTGCATGAACTACACCCCCCACGAGGCAAAGACAGAGTGTGGCATCCACACGCGCACCACCTTCGCTGGGGCCCCTCACGGCGGATCTCTCGTTGACTTGATGGTCAAGGACTCCGGGTTTAGGGTTTTGACTGTGTGGTGTCGGGTTTAGGCGAGCTAAAGTCCACGGACAGCAGTTCCTTTTGTGGTTTAACCATATTTATAGTTAGGATCCGATAAGGTACGCCAAAAAAGGATAGACAAGGGTCATTCTAGGTATATATGGTTTGCAGAATTTACCACATTAGCATGCGGGTTTCGGTGTTCCATAATACTACTCTCTGTCTGGTGGACAGCAAACCCTAGGCCCTAAAATTTCAAGGTATATTTGGAGGTTCATGGGTAGTTATAAGTAGGGTTATAAGTCCCTTAATATGGGTTATAGTTATCCTATACTTATAACCCTTCCTATAACATCTTATAACTGCCCATGTACCTCCAAGTAGCGCCGCAAGGCCTGGGGCGTAGTAGCCTCAACCCCTGATTGGTGCTGGAGTTCCCTTGCTTGCAGTCTTACGTTTTAAGTCTTCTGATCCTTTCAGTGACGAAGATTTCCCCTGAACCCTAAGCCCAAAAAGCCCCAAACCCCGTAAGCCCTAAGCCCCAAAAGCCCTAAGCCTTGCGGCACCAAAAGAGGATCCAGCGACCATCCAGAGCCTCACCGCCAGCACCGTGAAAGCCATCGAGCTGAACGAGCGCCAGGTCCTGTGAGCTTTCCCGGAGACCCGTTTTGGGACTTGGGGACTTTAGGGTTCGGGGATTAGGGTGAGTTGGAGACGGAGAGAGAGAGAGAGAGAGAGAGAGAGAGAGACAGAGAGAGAGAGAGAGAGAGAGAGAGAGAGAGAGAGGGAGGAGAGAGGGAGGGCGGGTTCAGTGACTCCTCTAGCAGCTTCAAATTGAAATGTTGATAAGGCTTGATCAGGTCTTACAGGAGGTTTCTATGTTATTCTGTTTTCCATGGATTTTGCAATTTTCCCTGGGATTGAGAGCCCAGACTTGCAGCCAACGCTGGTCCAGGCGTGCGACGTCTTCTGCCTGCTCAGCGGCGCCTTCAGCCCCCTCACAGGCCTCTTAAAATCATGCCCCCAGAGACACCAAAACCCCGCAATTAAGGCTTGCCGGTTTCTTGGGCTCTTCTTGAACTTTGTAGCGGAGTAGGTAACCTTTAAACTTTTGGTGTTTTTGATAACCCTACCATAGTTGGAAAGGTTAACCTTTCTCGAGCTAGGATACTCATCCCTTAAGCTTAAGGGCTGTGGGATTGCAAGCCATATTAAAACAGCTTTGTGCTCTCGAATGTTCTGCTTCTGGTGGTGAAAACACACATTACACTACTAAACCGCTTCGGGTGGCCTTGACTTGAGGTAGCCAAGCCGCGCAGTCGAACCAGATCCGGATACCCCCTTTGCTTAAGCCAGATACCTTCGATTCAATGATTTCGAGCTCTGCCTTCGTTAGGGTAGTTAAAGGGGTAATTATTGGGAGCACTATTACTGCTTACGGTTCCCTGCATATATTGGTATCTAGGCTCTTCACGAGCCCGAGGCTTCCCTGAACCCACAGAAGAAGCTTTGTGCGCGAGGCTTCATGGAGGAGACTGCCTACAACTCGGTGGTCAAGGACCTCACGAATCAAGAGGGTCACCAAGAAGGGATTTTCAACGCAGGTGTACAGGGCTTATCGGGTTGGTGCTGCTTACAGGGTTTATTGGGTTTAAAGGGCTTATGGGGCTTCAAGAGTTGCAGGGTTCGGGCGATTTAAAAATCGGTTCTATGAGGATTTTACAGGGTTCATTTTTTTCATAGGGGGCCTTTTCGTTGTAGATGCTTCTCTGGCTCAGGCCACCTGAGATTTTACGGCTTAGCCTACTTTTTAGTACCCGAGCCTGATTCCGGGCCAATAGCTGCTATTCTGAGGAGTTTTTTTATCATGAAGTCCGATAACCCCGAGCCCCAACTGTGCAAGTAGACCCCAGCCGTGGTGCTCTCCGAACTCACATCCCAAAATCCATGAAAGCTCCAAAACCTCAGAGAACCCAAATCGCAGAATGAATCACTGGCACCAACAACACAACCTATGTACCCCCTAAAGCCCTATATAACCCTATACCCTAGACCCTATGTGTCCCCTGAGGTCAGGTATGCCCAAAATCCGTCGACTTTCCAAACAAAAACCGTAAACGCCTTCACTGAGACCTTACACGCCCAAGGCCCCCAAAGCCTCAAACCCTCAAAGCATGCGGGCATGTCCTTGCTAGGTAGAAGGGAAAAAACCCCCAAAGGCCCCCAACACCCTGAACCTGAAACTCCCCAAGGCCCCGTGACAGGACATGCGCCTGCCCGAGAAGCAGCTCTTTGGCTTGCCTGTGACCTTGGACCTTCCAGAGGCCTGGCGACCGACCCGGCACGATTTGGGTGTTTATGGAGGTTGGTAGGGTTCTATAAGAGGGATTCTATAAAGGTTTGGTTTATGGAGGTTTAGGGTTTTTAGGTAATAGAGTTGGTCTGGCGCTTCGCTTGAAATTCGCGTACGTTTCTGGCTGTAGGAGTCCAGAAGTCTCTGAGGCTTAAGCATCAGGGGTCAAGGATTTACTTGCCGGCGAGGGTTTGTCTGGCCGGTCCAAGTTTCCAACACAGTGGCGGAGGTTAAGGGTAGCAGGCAGAGCTCGATACAGGCTTTGCAACTTTACATCTAGTTGTCTGGCATGATGGGTGCTATAGTGCTCCATTCCATGTAAGTGGGAATTCTTATACATGCTACACATATTCATAATCTCTCTCTCTATATATATATATACATATACACACACACACACACACACATATATATATATATATATTTATGTACATAAACCAACATATACATGCAGAAACGACCAGGACTATAAAAAACAGACATGCATATCAGTATACATGTTCACATCGATCATACATGTGTGCTGCCTAAACGTATACATGCATACCCACACATGAGGAAGAGTAAATAAATTGTAAGTCTGGACATACATATCAACACAGAAATAAGCATTTACAGCGACTGGAATACATAAACCTAAATGTGCAAATGCATGCATACATACATACATACATACATACAGATCGAAGTCTACATTACTGAAATGTGCTAGCCATGATAGTGGCACGAGCAAAGACCTTGAGAAAAGCCACAAACCGTCCACGGCTGAGGTTCGTATGCATGCTGAGTCTCAAATTCCCTATCTGCGGCAGGCCACAGTACGGGAACTGAACCCCCAAGCAACCAGCTTTCAGGTTCAACAAGGCTCTGCAATCGAAGCCTCCCGAAGCATCAAGAAGGTTGACGGCATCAACAAGGGCGACAAGCTGCTGCTTAAATGGAAGGGGACCAACGTCGCCGTCCTCGAGGCGTCTTCCATCTGGAAGCCGAACAAGGCAAGCTTGCCGTGGAGCTCAATACCCTCCAAGAAAGTAACCTAGCCTAACTTAATCCGGGTTACTGGCTTCTGGCTCAGAGGTGAGGGTGCAACACACACCTCAACCCTTTGCCGCGACTTCTTCGAGAATCCATCAGAGCCACGAAGGCCATGACATCATGTGATCATGTGCACTGGTACCCCCGCATACTTCCAATGTCCAGTGTATTTAAACTACGGCAAACCCTATTCTACGGCTTCAGGCCCCCAACGGTTCCACGAACAAAAACGGTCCAGATGGCAAAATGACCCAAACTCATACCCCCTAACCGTCACCGTAAGACTCCAAATAGCCCGAAGTTGGCTTTCTGTTTCGACTTTAGACTCTTACTCCCCGAAGTGGGCACGGTGAAGTTTTGAAATAAGTGGAGGGCGGCCGGACCACCAAGGCCAGGGAGGTTTCGCATGAAAGTTCTGTTTAGAATTTTCCCGCATGCTCAAACCCCCCTAGTTTTGAATTGTAAATACCCTAAACCCGAAAGCCCTTAAACTTTTTTTTCAAAAAAAAAGCCCTTAAACTTTAAACTACAAAACACCGCGGGCCTGGAAGAACTCCCGAAACGCCCCGGGCCAGGTGGTGGAGGCCAAGGAGTGCTACGGCACCAGCAGCCTGGAGCATCCCACCGTGGCCTCCCTGGTGCAGGAGCTGCCGGGCTAGGGTTTTCGGGTTTTAGGGCTTACTTAGGGGTACTTAGAAATAATTTTCAATTTTTGGTTATTATAATCCCTAAGAAACAACTAAAATTATAATTATTGCTAGGGTTCTAAGTTCAGTATAGCTTAAGGGTTTCAGGGTTTTAGGGTTTAGGGTAATTCCCTAGGGCGAAGGGAATTTTAAGTCAAGTTACCATAATGGGGATCTATAGTAAATAATATGGTTTCCTTATATGGTGATAACAAGAACCCAGGCTAAGTTGCCATGGCTCATGGATCAAGCCCTCGGGTTGAGTTTAGGATTTAGGGCAATTTAGGGTTTCGGGTACAGGGTGCAGGGTTGAAGGTTCCGGATATCAAGAGGCTTCTGGGCTCTTGATCTCTTTCTTGTAGCGCTTGCTTGCTGGATGGAACACAATCCCAGCCGGGAGGTTGTTCAATCCTCCAGCAACAGCCCTGAAGCTGTTGTCCAAGACGAATTCTCCGGATTGATCTAGCAGCACAAGGAGCAACGACAACCCTGGCAAAAGCTCGTAGACCGCAGGCCCTACTTGGAGGTTCATGGGTAGTCACAAGTGTGGTTTCTAATCCCCCGGATAGAGGTCATGCCTATAAACGTTCTACTGTAGCTACCCATGAATCTCCAAGTACACCCAAAGGCCTGAAGCCATGAAAGTGACAGCCGTCGTTTTGGCTCATGCAGGAGATCGGCAAGTATTACGTGGGTGGCAAAATCCATGGCTTCGAATTGCCCCAGCTCCTCCACTGTTTCAGGGTTTCCAGGCCCCTAAGCCCTAAATCCGTAATTCCTAAACCCTAAACCCCCCAATCCTAAGAAGACCTACACCCCCACCATATGGGAGTTTGCGAAAACAGGGGACCCAAATATGGCCCCCTAAATAGTAGAATCATTAAAAAAGGATCCCAAAGTAAGGTACCCCTAATTTTTGGAAACTCCCATCTAAGTCCAATCCCTAAACCCTAAACCATAAAGCATTTCGGAATCCTCCGGGTCGTTTCGGGGCTTTTGAGCCCCGAAATGATGCGTTCAGGGCTGTTGAGCTTGAGGTTTATGGAGGGCTTCAGGGTATCATGGTGTTAGGGTTCTATGCTGTAGGCTGTTATAGCCTACTGAAGTCTTATACTATGGTATATTGGAGTATATTACAGCCGATCACAGCACAGTAAACCCCTTAGAGTTGGAAACCGTCTTAAGGCCAAGTAGTGCTGAGGCTTATACTGTATATCGAGGTTGCAGTGCTTGGGAACCGCAGAGGCTAAGGCAGGTTTATGGGCTAAGGGTTGTGTTTAGGGCATATGCGGCTTAAGCGGTTTAGGGTTTAGGGTTTCGGGTCAGCCATTGGCAGGATCTCTGTTGATATGTGAGCGTCCTGTTTGTGCTAGGGCAAACGAAGCCGTCGAAGAAACGTCAGGGTTTAGGTGAAGCATGAGTCGTGCTTGTTCGGCCAGCATGTACAAAACTTCTAACTTAGATATGACTCGCTTGCTGGTGGGTAGCGGACTACAGCAAACACGGTTGTTCTCTGCTTAATTGATTCCCTTTCCACTGTCGATCTCCCCAACAATATTGCAGCAGGCGGTCCTTCCTGACGCAGAACCCACTAAGGGGGGGGAAACTAGCCCGAAAAACCCTAGAAAGCTCAAAGCAGGCCTTGAACCCCAAACCCAATTGCCAAGTCTCTACTTCCAAAAACCGAAGCTGCATCGAAGCGTCGGAACCGAATTTGGGCTCCGGTCGTTCTAGCTTCTCCTAACTGCTTTTTGGTTTCGAGTGTGAGAGACGAATCAGCAAAGGGGGAAAGCATCTTACCATTCTAACCTGCCAGCCCGCGGTAAACCGAGAGACCTCATCTGGCATGTCCCGGCTGTGAGATATGTACAGTGATCGATAGATTGGTAGACCCATATGGCAGTATGCGTACGACGGAGCACGATGGCTAACAGGAGTAATCGAAATGTAAACTTTAAACCCAAAACCCTAAACTAACCCTAACCCCCCCCAAACCAAAGCTTCTAGCTGAGGTTTGGCTACCCGACGCAGACTCCGGTTGAGGTCCGGGCCACACTGCCCGAGAACAAGCAGGTGGACTTCTGCAATTGCCTGGGGAGTTGTTTAAGAGTTTGGGGCTTTAGGACTGAGGGCCTGAGGTTAAAGTCACAGGCGGTATGGCTTCAGCACTATACGGCTCGAGGGAGAGCAAGCAAATATTGTGGCGGCATGTCCCCAAACCCGAAGCGAACAAGACTCCTTTGAAGGAATCCTCTGGAAGCAAAGCTCCTCATGCCTTTAGCCCAGTATCCTGGAGACTAGAATACGCTCGCCCAGTACCCTTTGATCCCCAGGAAGCAGAGTGGACGTCATAATTTCTGACGTCTGGGTTTGTCCGTCTAGACTATGTTACATGAACCTTCTTACCTCCATCATCAATCAACTTCTATGGAGGCCATGTGCGGTGTGCGCTTCTTCTGGGTTTGGTTCACTAGGATGCCCGGTAGTATCCTTGCACCTTAAAAATTTAGCGTGCACTTGCTCAGATGTTCAGCATATGGCGGTTCAGGCTTCACCTATGGAAGTCGTGGGGCTGCTACCCTGTAGACCCTACTTGGAGGCTTATGGGTAGTTATAAGTGGGGTTATAAGTAGGATAACCATAGTTATAACTTAACCCATACTAGGGGACTTGTAACTCTACTTATAACTACCCCTGAACCTCCAAGTAACTAGTAGGATCCGGTTCACCCAGATCCCCCCCATATGTATGGGTGTATATATATATATATATATATATATGTATGTACCTCTTTAAGTTTAGCACCCCCCCCCACCCACCCCCGATGGTTGCATCATGTTCGTGAGGACGGATCTGGGCTCGAATGTCATTGTCCGAAACCTCTCAGAGCACCCCCGCAATATCCCGCAATACCCTTAAGCAAGGAATAGACTTCAATTTTAAGCGACACACTTCGGGTTTTTCTGGTTTCAGGAAATCTCTACCAGCACAGAGGCCTTTTAAAAATATGGCTTACAGAAGTTGCTTTTGTTTTGAAGGGCGACGAGATCTCCGGGCTGTCATGAACCACCAGTACCCACCCTTCCCCCTAATGACATGTACCCTCCAGGTGTATGCGTGTCCCAAAAGCCAAGGCTCCAAAAAAACAGACTTCGGAAGCATGCCCTACACCCTAAACCCCTATATATATATATATATATATATATATATATATATATTTATATAGGCCTAAACCCCTAAACCCTAAACCCTTCAACCCCAAACCCCCATAAGGCCTAAACCCTTCAACCCTAAACCCCCATAAGGCCTAAACCTACACCCCTAAACCCTAAACCCCCATAAGGCCTAAACCCCTAAACCCTAAACCCCCATAAGGCCTAAACCCCTAAACCCTAAACCCCCATAAGGCCTAAACCCCTAAACCCTAAACCCCCATAAGGCCTAAACCCCTAAACCCTAAACCCCCATAAGGCCTAAACCCCTAAACCCTAAACCCCCATAAGGCCTAAACCCCTAAACCCTAAACCCCCATAAGGCCTAAACCCCTGGGGGTTTCGAAGGTCTTAGAACCCGAAAGATGCACGGCTTCAAACCCGATTGCAACTCGAAGTTGAATCCGACACATTCAGGCCTATGATAAGCCATCAACCGGTAAAATCGTAGGGGGTTCAGGGGCCCTGCTCCTAGCAGCACGAAGGACCTAGAGTAGGCCCTTATTCCCTTTTTAGGGTTCCGGTCCCTTATAAGCCCCTTTAGACCAAAAAGGGCACCCATTTTATTCCTAGGTTGCGCTTGGGTCTAGAGGTGGTCGCCTTCCAGAACCGCAACCCCATCCATCGTGCTCACTTCGAGCTGCTGGTGTGCGCCCAGACACTCGGCGGTTTAGGGTTTAGGGTTCAGTTTTGGCTAGACTTGAGTCCAGTGGCAAAAAAGGGTTCAGTTTCAAACGGCCTTGTGTAGCGTTAGTTTGCGCCAAATTTAGGAAAACTGCCTTCTTTCATCCGGAGTCCCTGTGATCGTTGGCTGATGCGAAGTTCCTTAATCAGAGCCCAGTTCAGTCTAAAAGAGGGCTCCGACTTGAGTTCGATGCTGAGGCCCAGGACTTCGGGCTGTAGTGTATTCACTAGGTCTCCTACTTGGAGGGTCGGGGGACTTAGTAAGTAGGTAGTAAGTAGACTTATAAGTATAAGTACCCTAAAAGGGACCCTAATTGGGGTTATGGTACTTATAAACCCCTAACATAAGGAGTTACTAAGTCCGAACGGAGGTCTCCTTGCCGAAACCGAATAGACGTAAACAAAAAGGGCGCCCTCATTATGAAGGCTGCTGGGAAACCCTTAGATACGTGTCTAAACCCTCAACCCTAGCACTGATCTATGAGGGGGCTACTGGGGAACCTAGAAACTCTAAATCCCTGAACTCCTCTTTTGCAGGCCGAAGGGTTGGAGGATCCAGATTGAGGACTTGTGGTGGTTGTTTTGGGGTTTAGGGTTTAGGGTTCTACGGGCTGTAGTTTGATGCTTAGAGTGCAGGTGGTTTCGGGCAGAAGGGTGTGAGGTACTTACCACTCATTGTTCCCGCAAGACGTCCATCGCAACGACTCTACTCTACAAGACAAGGCTTACATGATACACTCACTCACCCAATGAAGGTACATCTTAAGCCCGAAACCCTAGGCCCCAAACCCAAGGAAGGACGTGAAGGACTCCGTCCTTCTTGTCCATCCTACTTGCGGACCCACTCAGCCGGGTGACATCGATGGCCTGGTGCGCATCCAGACCTACGAAGCCCTGAAGACGGAGACCGAGAAGGAGTACCCGATGTTGCTCGGTGTAGGGTTTAGTAATTTGAGGGGTGTTGAATGGCTAACAATGGTGGTCTTCGGGTTCCTATGATAAACATGCATTCGGGAACCGCTCGTAGTTAAGTGCGAGTTGTATATGCTTTAGCGCTTTGGTGCAAAGCATGTCTTCCACACCTGGTCGACAAGCCACAAGATTGTCATGCTGCAAGCAGTGGAGGTTCCGATGGGCCTACCTGCCGTACAGCATGAAGATGGCTGGACCTCGTGAGGCTCTCGTGAACGCCTTGTTTTTTGGGTTCCGGGCACTGGGCTTCATGCTCGTAAGACTTATGTGCAAAGGTTCCGTGTTTGGGACTTGCGGTAGGCGCAAGAAGACATCGAAACACCTTGAGATAGGCAGACGGACATGCCCGATCCGTCTTCCCTAAACCCTACAACTGTTAGGTGTGGGGCTTCAAGATCAATTGACCCGGAAGCCGTATATGCCTAGCTCGGTTACGTCGGTTTTGCAAAATAGCTTTCAGGTCTTTTGGAAGACATACGGGTTGAGTTAGATAGTGGGTAACCCTATAATCCAGAGACATCAACTTTCTCAGACAAATCGTAATAGAGGGAAGCTTCAGTAAGGAATAGCGGATTTTCTGGGAAAGGCAATCCAGCACATGATCATCCGCAAGAATTACGGAGCCACTCACTTCATCATCGGGCGGGACATGGCTGGCACGAAGAGCCTCTCCCGAAATTTCTTTCGTTACGGCCTAGTGTGTGCAGTTCAGGAAGGTCTTGGGCTCGGTCAAGGTACCGGGTTGAGGATTCATTTCGGGTTTGGGTATGAGGCTTATGAGAGCTTCAACCATCCTTTGTCAGAGTTGCGCAACATTTTACATGTCAACGGTACTTAAACACAAGAAGACTAGAAACTCGAATTTTAAATGCTATCCCAACCAGGGACTACAGAATCTCTTGTCTGAGCTATATTCCTCAACTAGGGCGTTTCTGTAGGGTCTCTGGTCTCCAGGCTCGGGGTCAGGATGCCTGTAGCTTTCTCTTCCGAGGAGCACCATTGACGGCGAGGATTTCTATGGAGCCTATGACGCCCAAGAGACCGGCAAGAAGTACTCTGCAGAGCTCGGCGTGACGGTGACCCACTACGAGAACATGGCCCCTCCGAGGACTTCATTCATCTACAGATCCCCTTGAGAATTCTGGGGGTTATACTGGGTTTTACAACTACAGAGACCAGAATTCATCCAATGAAGTTCCGAAGGGTGATCAGCACCCTTTCGTTTTGAAACACAGGATCGTCATCTGCGTGATTCGGGAGCATGCTTTCAGATTCTGGTTCGGTGTTCGGCCATTCGGGCAGTGAGTTTGGGATAATGGAGGGCCGGCAAAGGATGGAGGTTTGTTTCCAGACTTAAGTTCAGGTACCAGGTTTGTTTTGCTGGAGGGGTTCGTGCTAGTCGGTGGTTTTGTCAGACATGGCATGATGCAAAACCCACACCTGATGAACCCCAGCCTCATGAACCCCACTGTCCGACTGCCCAAAGCAGCCAAACGATTCACAGTATATTATTGGGAGCAAAGTTGATGTCAGAGAGTACCATGCCCTAGACAGCCCTAACATCAACGATAGGAGGCCGGCCCCTAAACCAGTGCATGCGGTTAAGGTCTATGTCGGCCCAGAGGAAGGCTATGTCCAGGAGAGCGTGGCCAAGAGCAAGGGCAGCTTGGTTCCCTAAGCCCTACACCCGAAACCCTTACAATTTACCTGGCGTCCTTCTGGTTGGCTCTTAGGACTTTTGGGGTTTCTATATGAACCATAAGAAGGAAGCTAAAAGTTTAACTTTTAGGAGTGGTTCAGACGTCAGCCAAGTTTAGATCGCTTACGTCGGGATCCGAACTGGATACTTTTACGGGATCTACTGTTGGGTCCTCCCACAAGGAAGGGTTAGCACCTTTTCAAGGCCAACAGACTCAGAGTGGCGGTTGGGGCTCAACCTTGGAGCCCGGCTTAGGGGCGAGGGCACAGGGAGGAGGGACCCAAAAAGCACATAAGCATAAGCCTTTTATGGGGATATCCCTACCTTATTGGGCTTCATTATAAGGGGGGTTATATGGGATATCCCTATCCCAATTTTTGCTGACGTGCTTTTCTTGGGCCCTCCAGGGAATAGAATGACGAAGGCGAGGAGTAGCTGTATCAAGAGAGCAACGGCCCCAAGTACCTTTAGAGTTGCTGTCGTTTTGTTCTGCTTTGCCCCACAACCTCCCAAACCCTAAAACCGCCAAAGCCAATGCATCTCCGGGCAGACAGACGTTAGCAGTTCAATGACGTCTGTGCAGGTCCATGCTCTGCTCGGAAGGACTTACCATAGGGTGCAGGGTTTTAAACTCAGAAAGGGTTTTAGGGTTTAGTCTGTAGGGTTTAGGGCTTGCGGTCATAGGTTTTAGGGTTCAGGGTTTTGTTGTTTAGGGTTCAGGGCTTAGCGATTGTCGAGTGAGACCTGCGTATCAGGTTCGTGAACTTGAACAACTGGCCTCGAAGCAGTAGAGCTCAACATCCTCGAAGCAGTAGAGCTCAACGATACCCAATCCTGTTCCCTAGGGTTCCTTATTGTGGGTGCAGTATGAGCATGTGCTGATTCCTAGCTGATGATGGCATAGAGCCAGGGTTCAAAGTATGAGCATGTGCTCCTCTGCCGAACACTCAGAATATTCCGATTTCTCTACTTCTCAACCAAAGCCGGACCTTTCTCTGCCGGAACCCACACCCTACTTGCAGATTCATGGGTAGTTATAAGTAGGGTTATAAGTAGGGTCATAAGTAGGATAACTATACTTATAACCCACATTAGGGGACTTATATTCCTGCTTATAACTACCCATGAACCTCCAAGTACCCCATGACCCAATACTTAAAGGATCATGGAACTTAGTAAGTATGGTTATAAGTCCCGTAATCGGGGTTAGAAGTAATTAAAAATGTAGTTACCCTAGTAAGAACACCAGTTGCTAAGTCCCATGATCCTCCAAGTACAACCACAATCAGGAGCCAAAGCTGCTACAGGGTGCTGGGCCCTGTGCCCCAAGCCCCTAAACCCTCAAATGGGAGTTTCCGAAAATTGGGGGTACTTTATTTTGGCGTCCTTATAACAAGGATCCGTAACAGACATGTCTGAAGCTACCTACAGTGAATGGCTTTCCTCTCTTGATGCAACTTCCAGCGCGTTAGACATGATCATCGCCAATTTCCAGTGATTGAAACAGCACCTCTCTGTTCTTTCTGTCTCACCTTCGTCGCCTATGACCTTGTGTCCGACTACCTAATAATAAGGATCCGACTATTTAGGGTACTATATTAGGGTCCCCTATTTTCGGAAACTCCAAAATACCCCAAGCGACAATCATTGAAATGTGAATCCCTGACAAATTCCAAAACCCGAAAGCTAAAGCCTGAAACTCTGAACCCTAAACCTCGCCTTTATGCGTCCGAGTATGAGGGCCCAATAAAAGCCCTACTGTATACTCCAGGCTCCTTGCCCCTAAACCCTAAGCCCTCAAAGACAAGACCCAAGGCTACAAGGTGGCGAAAGCCACACTTTATACCCCAGCTCCTTACCCTCGGCCCTTAAAGACAACACCCAAGGCTACAAGGACCCCAAACCCTCATCCCAAACCCAAACCGTTGTGCATGGCCACAAGGCTACAAGGTGGTGAAGCTCTCCGGCACCGAGTTCCGACGACGCCTCCGCGCCGGCGAGGACATCCCGGAGCCGCTCGATCTCATTTTGCTCCAATAATAGGGATCAAAGGTTAGAGTTTAGGGGTTCAGGGTTTAGGACGAATGCATCCTCTATGGCTTATTATTATAAGGGACTAAAGGTAAGAGTTTAGGGCTTTGCGGGTTCAGGGTTGGGGTTTGGGGCTTTGGGGTTTAGGACTTTTTTTTTGGTGTAGGGTTAATTCATGTTATAATTCATCGTTTAAGGCTTACTCGCTGCCACTTTGCGATAATTCATCTAATAGTGAAACAAACTTGCCTCATCGTTTTTTGAGAGGACAGCGACGGACTACATGTTTTGTCTTTTTGCCGATCTCGGCATAATGGTTGTGAGAATAGCAATAATTATAACGATAATAGTGCTTCCTTGGTTTTGGAAGATGACAGGTGGTTTGCCTTCAAGTCCGTGGTGGATATCCTCCGCAAGGCCGGTGACAGCGCCTTTTGCGCCTAGGCCAGGTCTCGTCGCCCTGCACAGCATCCCTGAGCCTGTGCACAATACCGATTCAATGTGGTCGTAGTCCATCGAAGCAGCGGTACACTAATGCAAGATTCACAGAAATCAGGACTATCTGCCGGCACAAAACCCCGAAAGCTAGCGGTATCAACAGCTGCAAGACTGATCATTTCAACACTTCCGTAGAAGGAGCCAGTAACAAGGCCTGTTGCCGTCTGCGCCCCCAAGGAACCAGACGGTACCCAGGATCATGTGGGGCGTGTTCTATACTTCACCATGATAAAGACAGACTGGACCTTGATTTAAATGAACAAACCTCATGTGACAATCCTTTCCTAGCCTTTCTTGTCATGTGGGGTATCGCCTGCTCACAAAATGCGATGCAAGCGATAAGTTGAGCTCAAGAGCCTCAACCCCGCAGTGCTCCAGAACTTGGGGAACAATACCTCGTCCTGTGATTCTCCGCCTTGTTTACGGCATTAAAAGGGGTTTAGGACTTTGTTTAAGGCCTTATGAAGAATGTAGGAGATGATTTGTCAGGGAGGCATTGGGTGCCAAGTTGAAGGCACCTTCCCATCTTCTGCGGGCACCAATTTTGCCCTTTCACTTTCCTCCATGCGGCAGTCGACTGCCCAGTTGAGCTTCACAAAGCTTTGCTGAACCACGGACAAAATTGCTGCCATGCTCAAGGACACACCTCGAGACCCAACTCTGTTTGCATGGGATGTTGCAAGTCGTTTGCAGCATCCACCCGCTTACGTTCGAGGTCTCCATCGTCTTACTTCCCAGGATTCACGCTGCCCTTCCGCCTCAACATTGAAGCCCCAAACCCGAAAAGCTCTGCACCCGAAACCCTGCAGAAGTCGGAAGGCGGACTTGTGTCCCTGTTCTTCCGAGCCCGATACTTCAAATCAAGGCTTGGGCCGGCTTGGGCCCTTTGTGCCCAACTCTCACGCAAGCCCGGGACGACGAGGGTTGAAGCCTTCTACTTGGACTATACGTGTATACATATGATAACCATACTCATAGCTTATGTTGGTGGGTGTTATACACCCCACTTGTAACGATCCGGCCGACAGTGTAGCCATGCTGCTTGAAGCCGTATTAGAGCAGCCGTGGCCTCCATGGTAGTTGCTTTTGGGTTGTACCAGATTTATAGTTAGGACCCTATGAGGTAACCCCAAAAAGGAATTGCAATGGAGGCTATAGGTAGATCAACTGTAGGACCATTTGTTGTGCCTCCTGGCTCCCATACTGCGCTGCGAGTGCTTGTGTCTGAAGGCACATGCTGAGCGGCGGACAGAATGCCGCAAGAGGCATGTGGAATTCTAGGCCCTCGATATCCCTGGATTCTAGGAGTGGTCTTAAATAGCCCAGCTGCAAATGCACAGAATTCACGTCGCGCCAGAACAGGTGATTGGCTGCAGCTTTAAGGCTCAAGAACGCCGAGTCCAGTGACAGGGCCTCGTTCCTACCAATCAGCTTCTTCTTCAACAAGAGGTAACCTTTCGAGCAACCCCCGGGCGGAAGCTCCCAATGCTAGTAGTCTTGGTTCGAGGGTTCAGGCATGTCGCCGGAGGATGCGAAGAAAGTCTCGGGACTCGCCCCCTCGTATAAAAAACAACGGCTCTGCCTACGCAAAAGCCACCGAAAAAACATCATGGCGCGTGTGCGAAGCTTCGTCGTCTTGCTGCTGCCAGCGGCGCTCTGGTCAGCGGCAGGGCCCTTGGTCCTTGGTTTTCAATCTTGAGCCTTGAGTCTGAGGGTTGAAGGGTTTAGGATTTCGAGTGCCGGTTTTAAAGATTTTATGGTTTAGGACTGATTTCCAGACGGGCGGGAGGAAGTAGGGTAGAAACTTTTTAGAAGACTGTGGTACCCCATACGACTCATGGGATCTTGAAGCCATTACAGAGTGTATTTTCCATGTTTCTATCTTTCCAGAGATCTGGTTTTCAAGTGCTCCTCAAGCTTCCCGCGAAAAGCCTCCTGCAAAGAACCCGCAGACGAGGACGACATCGTTAGGAAGCAGCCCATCGAAATCCGCACTATCAATTTTTAAGTTGTTATCTACTATTTGCTTAAGAAACCCCCAAAATAAAAATAATAATCCCTATATTACCCCCCCATAAGGAATATATTTTTTATTTTTCGGGATGAACCAGGTGTCCAAGCTCTGGGGGTTGATATCTCGAGGGTGCGGGAGCTGCATTTCAAATCAACTGAATTAATTAAATGCAAAGCGGATGATCTGGGATTTGGCAACGAGTCGCCTGTCCACCCCTGCGTCCTTTATGATGAGTCCTACCTTCTCCAGCAAAATGACTGGCATCTGGGCTTCCTCGCATTCACTAGTCTTGGATTGCTTACTCAAACTCCAAACTTCAGCAGTCCCAGATACTCCATATTGGTAGTTCTCTAAACTAGTGTCCCTGGTGGGTTGTTGTTTTATTATCAGGGTGCCGTCCTAGCCTTAAACCATAAACTGCCAAAATCGCCTATTTGAAGCTCTAGTCCAGATATAAATCGAGAGTTCTACACCTAGCTAGGTGGCTTTCGTTGCCCCTCGAGCGCCGGCCGGCGCCAAGTCTCCGAGAGTGGTGACCAAAGCTGGAGAGGAGGGGCCGAAGAGATGGTCCAACATCCTGATATGATGAACATGTAACGCTTTGAGTCTAGAGCTTGCGTGCCAGGATCACAAGTTTGAGATTTGAGGCTTTAGGATTCTCGAGTGCAACGACTTCCTGCAGTTGGTACTGGTTCTGGTCGCCGTCCTAGTTGTACCGATACAGGCCAGATACGAAGACCAGGTGGGCTGAGCCTGAATAGTGGTTTTGACCTGAATCCCAGCGCTGGTACAATCCTCAGACCCTGATGAACCTGCAATGCGGATTCTTTTGGAGTTCACAGCTTCATTCCGAGTCCGGTGTGGTGAGACAGATGCTTGTAATACTACCGCCCCGGTCCAACCGATCCAGAGATCTTGACAGAGCCTGATTAGCAAGGTTGCCTTTTCTTGAACCTTAAATTCCAATCTAAGTATCAATCTGTCTTTCTGCCTGTTTGCCTGCCTGGCTGTCGTCAGTCTGTCTAATCTGTCTATCTATCTATCTGCCTATCGATCTATCTATCTATGTACCTATCTACCTAGCTATCGGTCTGATTGGTTTTATCTATTGTCTGTTTGTCTGCCTGTCTCACTATTTATCTATCTATCTGTCTGTTTGTCTACCCGTCTCTCTATCTATCGACACTGTGAGTTTGAAGGAGAGGAAAGATTTTTTCGACGACTCCGTGCCAGAGTGGCGCTCGGGTATTGCTGGCCGCAAGGGGGCAATTGGCGGCCTGATGGCAGGTGAGAACCCACCCCTTAATCCAGGAACAAACAGGAAACATGTTCATCATGTTGGGGCTCCTTTTTCAATTTAAGGCCCACCCAGAAGCAAAACCTTAAACCTGAACACATCTTAAATCCCCTCATTGCGGAAATGATGGCATCCCAGGCTTCCTCGGCTTCCTGACCTTGGTAATCGCTTATCTTTTCACGAAGGCCGGGTGACCAACAAAATCGCAGTAGCCTCTTCCGAAGCACGGCAGAGAGGGAGAGATTCACATATATACATACATAGACATATATGCATATATATATATATGTGTATACACATGCATCAATGCATACACCAGTACGTAATTAATCAACAAAACAGCTGTACACAGATTTGCATTATAAATGCATACACACAGATTCTAAATGACGTTATGAATCACCTTGCCTCTCTTGCAATGTAGTAGAATATTGCTTACTTGCATTGTTTTCGAGTCTCTGGGGAGGGTCCTCATGTAAGCCTGGGCCACAACCTTGAATCCTGCAACAGTTTCGGCGCCTTGAGATGTAACATATAAAGCTTCTTGCAGCCGCTCTGTGCTGTTGCCATCTAGGCTTTGGCGGGGGGAGGTTTAGAGCTCAAGGGATTTGGTGAAGATCCAATGGAAGAATCCGCACACCAGACGTCTCATGGGCCAGACACCAGAACCTAAGGAGCAAGGGATGCCTTCACAAGAGAAACCTACGTAGGGCCACTCATCTGCAGGATCCGGAAGTGCGGCAGATCAAAATCTGTGTTCGCAGTGGCTGGGCCCGGTTTTGCAGCACCAAGGGCTGGCTCAGGGCTGATAGTATAGGAGCCTCACTATGTTTTTTGCAGAGTTTTGTGCAAATTAGTGGCCGTGGCACTTAAATCTTGGCGGGGAGGGGCTCTTGTTTTGATTAAAGCCAGCTTCATCCTGACGGTAAGAATTGTGAAGACGGTTTCTCACTCTTGTCTTCAACCCTATGTTGCTTAATTGGTTCTCGAACGTCCGCTCAAGGGCCTTCAAAGGAGTTCGGTGGGTTCTACATGGCCTCATAAAGCCTCCACACTGTACTATGGGGCCTCATGTTGCGTTGAGACTTCCGGGATGGGGGGGGGGTCGAGTTTTGGATTTGGATTTAACATGTTGGGCTTAAGTTGTTGTGGTTGAGGTTTACGTGCGGCCCGCATCTTCATGTGAGCAGTTTCAACTGGGGACTCTGGGACTGAGGGTAGTAGTACTTAGAGTTGTCGGGACTTAGAAAATGCGGTTATAAGTTGTATAAGTCTTAAATACCATGCATAATTGGGGCTTAAACGAATTGTTCCTATAGTTACCTTATATAGTTAGAAACCCCACTTCCTACGTCCACTGAACCTTGCGCAAAGAGGCTTGTGCTGGCTGGAGGGGAGAGCATCAGGCTCCACGTTTTTCCATTTGTGAGACCGAGGATCGCTAATCGCACCGCTACCTTACTCCGAAAAAACCTACGTACATATCTAGGGACTTATATAAGCAAGTCAGAGTAAGCAACCTTAAACGGGTAGGTAATTTGGGGTTGAGGTGCACCCTATACTATCCCTATACCAAGCCTCAACCAAGAGCCTTAGTTGGCAGAGCCCGAGTGTGTAAGCACTAGCCTCCAGGAATGTGGGTTCGAGGGTTTAGCGGTAGCTCCGGTTTAGGGTTTAGGGGCTCGGGCGCAACAAGATCTCCGACCCTCAACTGGGCTCATTGTCGTGTTAAGGAACGTAATCTTAGTGTAAGTTACCAAGAAAGGAATATCAATAGCAAAGAGTATGTTTTCCTTATTCGGATAACTTAGGCTCGATCCCGAACCGGAGCCCAGTCACTCACCTGATTTCTTGAGGCAAGCAGTTCGAGAAAGACTTCTTTGACGATCCTGCCAAAGCCGAATGGGCGAAGAAGCATCTTGGCAAAGCCAATGTTAGCTTGGGGAGATGGCAGACCTTCTGAGATCAGCTCTCTTCTGCAATCTGTTGGGAGTTGCGTGCTGAACCCCGTCCGTAACACTCCAAATGGCACAACATAGGTATTATTCGTAACAGAATTTGTATACTTGGAGTATCTTGGAGTCTTAGGGTATGAAGAGGCCAAAATTCGGGCCATTGCTGGTGATGCAGTTGCTGCGACACTAGGAAAGGCTCTCAATGAAGCAACACAATGAATCCAAGGACCTAATGCGGCTTGAGCCCGAAAACTGAATCGTCAACTCATCAACACCAGCTCCCTCAGCCTCACCGGCCAAAGTGCTTCTCTTGTACCCGCCGAACCTCGCCTGGATTGCCTGGGAGTGAGTGCTGAAATCGAGTTGCGAGAGTCCAAACCCTAAACCCACAAGCCAAACCCACTGCACAGCTTCAGAGCCTCCATCTCCGAGGAAAGGCTATAAGGCACTGCAGGACCCAGAGATGATGGGGTGTTTTAGAGTTTCGGGGTTCAGGGGATTAGGGGTTTCAGAGGTTGGAGCCGTGAAACTCAACGCTTCGAGCACCTGTGAGAGAGAGAGAGAGAGAGAGAGAGATGGGTTTAGGGTTCCGGGGATAAGGGGTTTATGCGATTAGGGTGTGCGTGCGAGTGAGTCGGTGCTTTTCTATTCTCAGTCTTCCTGTATACGGTTTTGCGCAAAGGTCCTAGGATTACTAGGGGGACCTGTTGAAAGGAACCCTTCTTCACCCTACTTCTGGCTCTCTTAACTGTGACCGTATGGAGAGGGTCTTTATTCCAAGGGGTCCCCTGAATCCTAACTCCGTGTTGAAAAGAGTAGGGGTTACTGGAAGACGCAGGCTGCCAGACATGCATAGTTCGACTACTTGGACAAGCCCAGAGTAAGCCATGTCTCGACTCCGAGCGACGTAAACCCCAATTCCCTAAGTCCTATAGCTAGCAGGGAATGATAATGACCCTTGTCATGTTGAGGTTTCCTTCCCGACAATGACCCAGACCTTCCAAAATACCTTAATCAAGGAACAGACCTTAAATTATAGTAGGGCCCCTAATATGATTTCAGATATATTCCTTAATACAGGAATTTTGGAAGGTCTGGGGAATACTCGGAAAGAAGGTTGTCTTGTTCTTCAAGGGGTGCTGGGAAGCAAGTCCGGCCCTCAACTCGCTCAAAGAAGTCAGCCTTGGGAACCCTCGCGTCCACGAGCGCCCAGAGCCAGCACCCAAGCAGCTCGCTATGGGGTTTAGGGTCTTAGGTGTTATCTTTTTGGGTGTGGGATTTAGAGTTTGTTTCGAATGCTTGTGGGAGAGAGAGAGAGAGAGAGAGAGAGAGAGAGAGAGAGAGAGAGAGAGAGAGAGAGAGAGAGAGAGAGAGAGAGAGAGAGAGAGAGAGAGAGAGGGAGAGAGAGAGAGAGAGATAAAGCGAGATAGAGAGAGAGAGAGAGAGAGAGGGTTTAGGGCCTCTTTGTGACGTTGCACGCCAGTTGCAAAAAGGGGCGAGATTCAACCCTTCAGCTCATGCTGCGAACCTTAAACCTCGAAGTCCTGATCCCAAAGAGACTGTGCAGAACGGTTTTGAGACTACTTGGAGGGTCGGGGGACTTAGTAAGTAGTTATTTTATGGAGTTATAAGTACCATAACCCCAATTAGGGTCCCTATTAAGGTACCTATAAGTTCAAGTATGACTCCCAAGCACATGCTGTTGCCAGGACCCCGACTGCAAGGAATGGCCGGAAGTGTGGGAAAAGATCAAGCCTTTCTGAGGGTCATGCCGGGCATAGGGCTTGGTTAGCCCTTGTGGTAACTTAGGGGTACTTAGAAATAATTTTCAATTTCTGGTTATTGTAATCCCTAAGAAGCAGCTAAAATTATAGTTTCTGCTAGGGTTCTAAGTTCAGTATAGGTAAGGGTTTGGAGCTCTAAGTTCTGGTCCCTCTTAGCATGCCAATCAAACCTTGCAGCTCTTCAACTGGCCTTAACCCCCGCTTTCCAACAACTCTCGGCCCCTGCCCCGTCTGAGCATGGGGCATTTCACGATTTTGTGAACCATAATCCCCTGACCCAGAACTTCTCGCATGTTTCATGTCACCTAAGCATGAGAATGCTAAGTTCATGCCCATAGACCGTAGAGTGTCGGATGAGCTCGAGCCTGTCGGAACCCGGGGACCGAAGCTCTTTGCTTTTAAAGCCTTGTCAGAGTATCATAGGGTCCTTAAGAACTAGATCTTTCTGCACTATGACTCTACATCATGGAGCCCCAAAGAAAAGCATACATTACCTGTGGCCCAACAGACCTGCCTTTTTAAGGAACTATAATATAGAAGCCATCATAAAGACTCCTAAAAAGGTAGGTCTTTTCGGCTACAGGTATGACTTTAAATAAGGAAGCCTAAAGGATAGTAATATCGAAAAGAAACAAGCTTTTGCATATTTGCAGGCGTTCCTTGCAAAGACGTTCCCAGATCGGATGGCCGCTACAAGAGCCCATGCTTCGAACCTTTCACTACCTGCTTCAGGTTTGGGGTTTCGGGTTAAGGTTCGCTTTGGATTGATGGTCCCCAAGGTTGGTGTGAGACCACTACAGTTTAGGGTTCAGGGCAGGCCCTGATCTTGATGTGTTTCCTAGTAAGTAGTAGAGTAGGTAACCTTTAACTTTTTTGGAATAGTATAGCCCCTATATAACCCGTATATAGTCAACAAAAGTTAACCTTTAGTTCCCAATGATACCCGACAGTAGTAGGGTTTCCAGGGTCCACATCAACTGAGCGGCCTCCTACAACACAAGCGGTTTCAATAGATGTCATGCTCGGTACGCCTCCCTGGGGGGGCTTCTCTTATGGTCTGCTTGCGTTTCACTGGTCGGACCTCAGGCGTCTCGCCTTTCAGAACTTTTTAGTATAAGAGCAGCAAGAAAACTGGTTGCTCAGCCCCGGCCTTCAGCAGAAGCTATTCGAGAGGTTCGAAGAGCTTGTGTTTGTAAGACATAACCCGTAGGCTCTAAGGACTCATATTATAAGGCCTTTGGGCCCAAAGACCATACTATATAAGCCTTTTGGGCCATTTTGAGCCTTAGGGTAAGCATTGTTAACAGTCTGGGGTGAGAAAGGTTAGCTAGATGAAAGGACTGCTATATGGCACCAATGGCTAATAACAAGCTTCATCTACCAAGTCGGTGTTTCCGAGACACTGAAGCCGCTAGAATCCTCTTGCAGCGAGTTTCGGGGCATGATCATTGAATTCAACTGAAAGTTCCTTGTCATCCTTGTCTGTTTCATGCCACAGGATATAGGTGCAGCGACCATAAACCATCATTTGCTGTCGCCGAACGCAAGTGCTTCTGGCGCTTATAGCAGCAAAGAGCTGATCCCCCTCACCCAACATCATAATATAGGGGCGGCATAAATAACTACAAGCAGTTCTTTGGGGGTTCCATATTATACTTATAGTATAGCGGGACCCAAAACCCCATTCTATTCATTCAACCGGATCCGGAAGCAGTGCGACTCACAAACCATGTGTCAGCATATAACAATAAGATGTAAGCCTCATGGTGCCAAAATCTCTGCCTGTGATCCCATTCGAGGACGCAGATCTAGCGGGTGGTATACCCTGGCTATCGATGGCTATTGACAGGGCTTCGACCTGAAGGCTTTGAGACGCCAAACCCTACTAAAGTCAAAGATCCTTGAAGGCCCTGCATTCGACTTAAAGCTCAAAGATCTAGACTGCCCTCCACTCTCAGCACCCCGAAGACCCTAAGCTCTAAACCCCATGCATATTGTCCTGTTTGTCTGGGCCAAGGAGACCCTGTCCAAGTGGGGCTGTTCCGCAGAGCTTGGGGTCCAAGGGTTCATGAACTTACAGGGTTTAGGGTTGCTTAGGGTTCAAGAACTTAGGGTATTGCATTCTTAAGCCAACCGTATAATCACCAAAGAGGCAGGAGAACGGCTTAGACGTTTGCCTCGCCTGCTGCTCCTGGGCTATGGCAACCGTGGCGATGCAAGTTGACTTGGTTGAGCGGCGACCTCGGAAGGGTTGATGCCAAGACATAATTGAACGGTTTAAGGTTTAAGGCTTAAGGTTTTAAACCCAAAGCCCTGAACCCAATTCTGCGCGAGACGGGAAAAAGGTCCGTTCAGAACACCCAATGTTAGTGTTGAAAAAAGCATCCGCGATCTAATGTCAGCTTTGCGAAGGATGGATGCCAGAAAATAGGGGGACCGCGACAGAAGACTTACACATGGATCTTGTTTACATGAACCCCAAATATGAACCCCAAGTTTTCGGAGACCGTGATGTCCCCTAAACACAGTGAGTCAAGCTGTACGCTGAACCCTAAGCAAGCATAAACCCCTAAACCCTAAACCCTAAACTGAGTCTCGATTTGTGCACGTCATCCTGGCCTTGCGGCCATGCTAATCTTCCCTGCGTCATTCCAACTTATCCGAGGATTCCTTTCCCTAAAGGGTCCATGTAGTAGTATAGTATAGGGTAGTATACTAAATACCTTTGGGTCCCAAATACCAACATTCGTGCATCCTATCCCGAAGGGTCCATGTACCCAAACAGTATATACTTTGGCCTTAAAGTAGTCCTTATATAGGTACTTTGGGGCCAAAGTATATACTGTTTGGGTACATGGACCCTTAGGGTTCGGCTCTCAACCCTAAAGCCCCGGTAGACGTCCAGCGTCTTCATGACTGTCTCGCGTGAGAAGTTCGGCGATTTGGCGAGCGCCAGCAGGCATCATTAGAGTGCCGTTCTTCGCATCGCTATACGTGCGTCTCAACCTAATACAGCCTACATCTGAACAGGTGTCCATGGTTCATGCATGTTTATGCATATGTGACCTTTTTGGTCCATGTTTGTTGTGCCTCGTGCCTTTGGCATTCACGGTTTCGGGGCTCATTCAACTGGCTTGCCAGGCTCATGGTTGGCTTGGGTTTCAGGGTTTGTAGCTTAGGGTGTCTATGTTTTGCGGAGTTGAGGGATGTTGAGCTGAGCTTTCTAGTACATGACTGGAACGGTACAGTACTTGATCTTTGCCTTAAAACATATACCCCCCTATAATGTTTCGACCTTCTTTAGAATGTGGCCAAGCTTCGAATTGTGGGTGGCGCCCCGTGCGAGAACCTGACAGCCTACATAAGCAACGTACAACCTGAAATCCTAGACCCCCGTATCGGGTCCCCGGTACGTAGCAAGTATACGTTTGTTTTGGCACTTGAATCCTCCGAGTTACATATAGTCGCACGAGGACAAGTGGAGGGCATGAGCCCTATGTGGAACCTCGATCTCCAGCAAGAAAGGGTGCAAGCATCTGCGCATTTGCCACCCAGGTCTCCGCCAAAGCCTGCAGAGGCCGAACAGGGCAGTACCTATAGTCTCCATTGTAGTTCCTTCGTTCGGTTAACTTGTAGTTTTTGTTTAGGATCCTACAAGGTAACCCAGAAATGAACAGAAAACCGAGACTGTAGTAGATTTCATGTTGCGGGTTCTAGAGGCTTCGGATGTGCAGGGTGTATGTAATGTTGCCTAGCCCATGGACTGCAACGTTCAGGTGATGATATACTTGTTTACCACCATTGAATTAGTATGCTAGGGCTGAGGGGTTCGCCAGAAAGCACAAGACTCCGAATGAAACAGCTTTCCTGACATCGATACACTTCACACTTTTCGGGATCATATCACCCACTATAAGACTAAAAGTGTACACTTTTTGGGGCTTATGAACTCAGTAACTAAGTTGAAGGTCCACTCCCTGTTTGCAGAAAACTGGGCTCTCCGGTTAGCGGCTCTTGTCTTCGAGTTCACAGATTCCTAAAGTGCCTTAACCAACCAAACCCCTACTTTTTGTAGGTTCTTATCATAACCCCTGATATTCAGTTCGTAGGGACCCTACAAAAAAGTAGGGTTAAGGTAGAACAACATTTCAGGACACTTTAAATCATCCGTGGGCTCATTAAACTTGACTGCTGATCAATAAGCCCACCTCCTACCAGGGAGTAGGATCCTCAATATGATCCCTAGAAGCGGGCAGGGGTTTAATCATCCGGGGCTTACATGTTGACTTCATGTGTATGTTCCTTTATGCACGGGTTTGGGAGTGTCTGCATGGATAGGCATGCCACACGCGGGGGCATGCTTCAAGAACAAACTCGGACCCCCAAAGTACCACTTACAGTAGCAAAGAAAATCCACACACTTGTGTACTCCTCAGGACACTAAGCTGGACATGCTGAGCCCAAAACCTACTGTCCCTTGCCCTCAGGGTCCATGCAAGCATAAAAAAAGCATGCACGCCCGAAACTGCTAACCTGTAATCCTATAGAATCTTATACTATCCGAATCCAGGCACTGTATTGGATACTTTGCACCCTCAGGGTCAATGCGTTGTAAGCCCGTACTTTGAACACTTGGGGTCACATTGCAGGCCCGAAAGCGCCAGAAGCGACAGCCGTGCAAAACGCTGACCTTCGAGGCTTTCTGCGTGGTCAGAGCGGTTTGGTCTGTCAGTACACGCGTATTGTCAAAGCGATATGAATCAGGTTGCACGTAAGTTTACGCAATGGGTGAGTGTACATACACATAGGCTCTTTGAAAGGAGATATTGGTTCCTGTTTTCCTGGATAGTTAGCATGGGGATAACTTTGCTTAGCATGTATTTCGCACCATTGGGCCTCGTTCGACAAACGTGGCTTCTGCCCCCAGAAGTGCCCCGAAAGCCTGCAGCCGAAGCGGTCAACGCGAAACTTGGATTCTGAAAAACCCTAAACCCTAAACGGAGCCTTGCCTGCTTGTGCGAGTGTGAGCGTCGAAACTGAAAGTTCATAAACCCAAGGCTCCAAACAGGCTACAGTAGGTACTATTTGTATACTTGAAGCTGTGTTAGGGAAAGCCCAGAGCATCCTGGCTGACCTGGTGCCCGCCGAGCTCGAATTCCACAGCCCGACGGGGTTTACGATTGAGCCCTCATTCTTGAGACCACTTGAAGACAAGAGCACCCATCTTGAACATGTCGAAGCTGCAGAAAGCTTTAAGTTGTAAACCCTTGAAGTAGCAAGCTCAGCGGACTTAGTATCTGAAGCCATGCCTGCCTTGTGCGAGTGTGTGAGTCGAAACCCCTAAAGCCCTGAAGACCTGCAGAGGAACAGCCGGAAGCCGAATCGAAGCCCCCGGTCCTTCGGCGGAAGAAGGGCAAGCAAGCGGACAGTGGCAGGCGTTTGGGGGGCTTTAGGGGTTAAGGGGGTTAGGGTTTAGCATCATGTGCCTAGGAATAAAGCATGAGGCTTGTGCCTGAGTCCCAGAGTAGGTAACCTTTAACCTTTTTTGGGTAGTATAGTCCGTTTATATAATCCCTAGACAACCAAAAAGGTTAACCTTTGGTTCCCCGTGATACCCGACAACTAATTGAAAATGCATTCCATCAAGGAGCTGAAATCGAAACCCTGTGAGCCTAGAGACAGAATCCTTTTCTACAAGTATCCGTGTGTGTGTGTGTGAGCCCTAGATCCTGACATTGCGTGAAACTTTGCCGACCCTACAGCCCAACGCCCTCAAATCTTAACCTCCATGCGAAACCTAAACCCAAAAGGTTCCTAGTAAGTGCTTGCCAGGGCTGATGTGGCAGAAAAAGACCCTGTGACCCCAGAGGCCAGGAGCGGTTCTGATGGCTTAAGATGGCTTAAGACTGAGGACTTGGACGTTGGATACTTTTGGGTTTCTTACGACCGCAGTTGCCCGTCTTTGAACGTAGGAATACGGGGTTGCCGCGTTCAGCTATTACTGATTCGAAGAAGACATTGTCAACGTTTACTAAGGGGTTGGGGTTTGGAATGGTTTGGGGTATGAACCCTAAACCCTAAACCGAAGCCGCAGAGGGGTTTGAGATTATGCGGATATGGGTCGAGCTATTGAGTGAGCCATGGATGGGCTGGATTTGGGATTTCAGGTTTAGGGTTTCGGGGACTACGATGCACTGTCACGAGCACAGTCCTAACTGGCGGAAGAGCGGCACACTACCAGGCGTCCTTGCAAGCAAGCCTGCATCAAAAGGGGACTACGATAAACCTGCTTGTGGCTGTGGCAGTATCGAAATTCTTTTCCAAAACCCCGGACCGCCAAAACCCTAAACTCTAAATTGTTTCGGAAGGCTGATGGCTCAGGAACTCGGGCCGCGAAGGCTTTAATCTAGGGGCAATTCAAAGCATGCGTCAACCCATTACAGACTTTTGCTGATATACCATCTAAGAATCTAAGTATAGAGTGGACAACAAGGAAGCAACGGTAAAGTAGGCCATGACAGTTACCCTAAACTTCAGGGTTCCTGTCGTGGCCCACTTTATAGCTGTCCCTAATCCCTAAAACCCTAAAACTCCAAACTTCAAATCGTCTTAAACCGCCAACTGCGCGAAACCCTAAGCCCCAAAACCCTAAAGCCTTAATTTTGATTCGTCTTAAACCGCCATAGGTGCGCAAGCCGCCAGCACCGGAATCAATCGATGCGGAGGCTTTCCGTGACCTTTTTTGTCAGGCGGAGGGGGAAATTGTTGTTAAGATGGTTAAAAGTAACCACGAGTATTATTGTTATTGTTCTTCTGATCATTGTTACTGCTACTCTCGTTGCTACTACGATTATTCTCATGACTGCTACATGTAGGGTTTAGGGTCAGGAGGGACCATCGATCCCAAATCCTGGATCCTGCATGGGTGCATCCCTCTCCAATCTAGGTCCTAGGTATTCCGACACAAACACATGTAAATCTGAGCCTCAATGCACGCATAAATACAAAAAGTTTCTCTCCATATACCTATGTATTCGAACTTGCTCGTTTGTTTTTCACTATTATGCTTGCAAAGCCCCCGAACCTCGGCGCAGCATCGTTTTGTAGGGTACAGCTAGTCCGCTGACGCTTCACCAGGCCACCGTGACGCCGCCGCCCTCGAGAAGGTCGCGGAAGATGCCCACCAGTGACAAGGCCGGATTTAGGGCCTTACTTGGAGGTTCATAGCTGCATATAGAAGATGGAATCATAAACAGGTAGGGATTTTGGGCTAAACCCTAGACAAATCTTCGAACCCATAGCCCCGTGCAGGTTGCGCCCATTCAGCTGTCTTTCCTCAACAAGAGCACTGAGACTGCCGGCCGGATCCTGATGTTTCGCTGTTTTGCTCGTAAGGCTCCAGGCTTGCATAAGGGTTCCTTTAGGGCGTAAGGGTTTAGGCTCGAATTGTATCCTAAGTTTGGGGTTTGGGCATCTCTTCTAGACCCAAGGACCCTAAACCCTAAACTCTTGAACCCTAAACCCCGAAGTTCCTGAACCCTAAACTCCTAAACCCTAAACCCCTAAACTTTGAACCCAAGGGCCAGGATGGGCTTTTTGCCGCGCAGACGCAAAGTCTCGATCCTTGCGAAGACCGTCATTTTGCTGTCCGCATTTTGCGCCACACGCAAATCCACAGGGACCAAAGGTACTGGTAAAGTATAGTACAGAGTATATAGAAAAGTATATAGTATAGTGGAGTGTAGTATAGTATAGGGTAACATACTATATACTTTTGGGTCCCAAATACCAACATTCGTACATCCTATCCCTAAAAGGGTCCATCTGCCCAAACAGTGTTTTCTTCGGCCTTAAAGTAGTCCTCATATAGGTACTTTGGGGCCAAAGTATATACAGTTTGGGCACATGGACCCTTAGGGTATATCGGTTTCGGGAAGTCGCCACTGCCGGTAGAGGTGAGCCTCGACTTTGGTTCAGTGGCGATCCTAGTGCGCAAACAAGAGCACGACTGCTGGTATTTGGGACCCAAAAGTATATACTAAACTACCCTATACTATACTACATTACATTCCACTTTTCTATATACTATTGGCCTGCGTTTGATACCAACTTTGCTTGAGCAGAATTGTGGACATGCATCCCATCACCCCGCCGGACTGAACACGCAAAGCCGAATCGCCCCTTGATCCAACATCCCTAATGCCGAAGCCGGCGCAGCCCATCCCCCTATGCTTTGAACAATAATCTCCGAAGATATGGGACTTCCAAACAGTATTATCTTTGTTCCAAGAAGTACCCACAAGGGGCACGAATTTGTCTTAGACTGTAGCATAGGAAGGCTGGGTGATTAGCAACAACATGCCTGAGATGCTTGTAGATGCCTTTAGTACAGAACCTGCCCTAAACCTCGTCTGATCACTCAGACTCCTACACGTTTCTTTCTCCATAGATGTATATTATATATATATATATATGTATATATGTCTTTCCCTGCTATGTGTATATCCTGATTATTACTGATGAAACCGATTACACAGGGGTTGAGGGTTTATGGTCACTATTCTTAAGGCACCGATGGCTCGACATACCCAAGCGCTGTGGTTGAGGAAGACACCTGGAATATCAAGGATGCCGAACATGCTCAGGATGTAGTCTCAAACCAAAGCAGGTTTTGGGTGTCTCTGGTGACCAGATTCGACTTAAAACCCCCAGGCCATCTTCACAAGTAGCTCTCCAAGGACACGGTTAGGGGTAGGCTAGGCTTTTCGACACTTTTCCTTCTGCATTTGGTTCTTCTAGTTGAGACAGGACTCGTGTTCGTTGACAAACAGGCCGCAAGTGTTCTAAGACTCCGTACAACTATTGCATTGACCATGCGTGACCTCCACTAGTAGCTAGTAGAGTCTCCGAGGCTCGCATGATCTATGCTCTGTGCATCAAGGCCCTAATGATCCCTACACCCTAAACCCTATAAACCTTTCACCAACCTAAAAGCCTAAAGCATAAACCATAAGCCGTCCTTCAAGGGCCTACCTTAAGTTCCCAGAAGCCCAGATTTTGAAGGACATATACGAGCAAAAATGAGAGTCAGGAGCCCTAAACAGGTAGATCTTTGGGGGTTAAGGTAGTTCGCAGCTTGGTCAGTGCCAGGGCAGGCCGTGAACATTGCTTTTACTGTAGGGCCTGAACAATTAGTGACATGTTCCCCTTGCAGGTCCTTGTCATTGTAGTGTGTTCAGCTCTCTATATGCACTTGCTGTGGGTGCTTTCCATTTTGATTGTTCCTGCTGTCCCCGAGCTAAACTCTCCATTCTCAATCGGCACTCCTCCGCTTAAAACCCACTGCTAGAAGGCAGCAGAAACCTGACCTTCAGGTCAGCCACCTGCGCCCAAGCCGAAAGCGAAGAGTGCCACTTGTCATAGAGCCGGGATCGTGCCAAGCTGTAGCAGCAAAACAAGGGCCTCAAGCCCGGGCGGGCTAGGTGCTTTCTGGTCGAGGGAGTCCATCTCTTGAGCTTTGGACAGCTGGTGCTTTCCGAGATTATACGTGTAATGTGCTGGTGGTTTGACTTTGGAGAGCGTGGACTCAGATTCTGGTAGCGGCATCATGCCAAGCCGTAGCACGAACCTTTTGCAAGCTGGTTGCTTGCTTGCTGCTATTTTTATGTGTTGCATTGTTAGTTTCGCACGGAGCACGAGCAAATTCTTTGTACATATAACCTACCAGCACCCGCTACTGCCACTACTACTATTACTACTACGACGACGACGACTACTACTACGACCACTACTACCGCAACTACTGCCACTCCTGCTTCTACTCCTGCTTTGGCTCCTACTCCGCTTCTCGATAGCGCAGGTCGCAGTTTTAAAAGTCCGTAGTCCGTTTTTCAGGGCTCCGCACGGAGGCGAACCGAACAGAGCCTCGACACGCCCAGTCCCAAGGAAGCCCAAAGCAAGATGGTGGAAGAGCATTCCTGAGCCCTAAGAGACCTCCACCCAACCCAGACCCTGAAAAAGCAGTTTTTTTCCAAGGACTGATATAAGGAAATCATGATCAGGAACCCTAACAAGGTCGGTTCTTTGGGGTAAAGGTAAACTCTACCACGCTGAAGGCCACTGCAGTGGGTTCCTTGGCTGCCTGCCGTTGTTGTGTTCCGGACTCATGGACCTGCCTTGCTTGTTTGGGCCTGCTATGCCTGCTATTGTAACTATACTCTAACGGAGCCCAAAAAACCCTATTCTAATTATTACATACTTCTACTTATTACGGCCCCTACATTAGACCCGATCCTTTTCTGAGGCTTCCAAAGGTAAGAAGCCGGCCACGGAGCTTGCGGCAGGCAGGAGTGTGGGATGTAGGGGCGGCAAGTTGTGTTTAGGACCTTGGAGTCGTGTCGTAGACTTTGAGGTTCCGTGCTGAAGATGAGGTTTCAGGCCGGACACAGCATACGCGATTTGTATGGTACTAGGTCCACAGAAGAGGGCATGGATTCTTGTCACAGCTTGTTTTGGGGTGCCCCGAGAAGGGTCTAGAAAATTCACCCTCCCCCCCGCCTTAACCAGGGACACTAAGAAGTATTAGTTTTTGGCCACAATGCACTTGGCTACTTACAAAGCTGTCCCCCTAAACCCGGATACTCGCGGAAGACAGACAACATACAAGCAACATCAAGAGACTCTTGTCCACGCCGTTCCAATACGGCCTGAATAACTATTCCTTACTGTAAAGTATGGTATATATACGATATACCTGAAGACCCTACAGAAGAAGCTCGCGCGTGGCCAGCCTGCGATTGGGCTTGCATTCCAGGGCGAAGGGTGCAAAGTCTGTCGCCTGTCGTGAGGCAAAAGCAACCAGCTCCCAGGCGCAGCAGAGCCCGAGAAGAGCGAGGCACGCCCAGCTGTTTCAGGTGGAAAGGTATGTATCGACAGCGCACCATAATAAGTAAACACTCCTCTAGGAACCTCAGGATTCAGAGTTCCGGGCTTTGGGGTATACGTTGCTCTTCGATTTTCTTGACATAGCCGGAAAACCCGCCAGTAGGTTGGTTGCAGCGGGTCCGCACGGCGCTAAGTTCCCATCAAGCTAATCACGGAGCAGCTCTTTGGAGCACGCAGTGAAAGGATGGTATCATGTAAGAGTTAACCCAAACATTGCTCAACTCTGATTGGTGCAGGTGCAGCAGCAAGCAGAAGAATCCGGCCCCGCACCGCCCTGACCTCAGGTGGCGCAGGTCACAGGTGCCGCAGGGAGGCAACTCACGGCTCATTTCTTTCCAAGAAGTATCCGAAAGAACCTACGGAAGATTCCCAAAGTTATTCGGTGTCTATAGCCATAAACAACGGCCTTGCACGTAAGTTTACACCTTAGAGCTCCAGTATTTCAGATGAGTTACTAAGGGTTTCTTGCCTATCACTTCACGTTGAATCTTTAGTTGCAGCCACAAGTTCTAGATGGACGCAAATCTCAACCAGTAACTCCCCCTCTGCTGGCTGTATACCGTGCTAGCTCTACACAAGTGTTCCTCACCGGGGGCCACATAGAACCCGTTATGAACAAGTGAAAACAGCATCGAATAGTCCCAGATGAGCACAAGACTTGCATTGATTAGGATGTCCTTAAGGGGGGGTGGTCCAAGGGGGGTAGGTAACCTAGTAATCCCCATTATTCCCCAATACTCCCTAAGCTTCCCTAAGGTTCCCCAAAGCTCCCTAGTACCCTCCCCCCTTGAACCACCCCCCCTTAAGGATCCTATAAATTGATGAAGGCAAGTTTCCAACTTCGCAACCCATGAGGCCCTTCGCAACAGTCCTATAAGACTCGCTCATAAGTCTACCTGAACCCGAAGACCTAGACCTTAAGTAACCCAGAGAGCTCAATACCGCTTAGTTAGGGAATATGGCTTAAACTATATAGGGCTTCATATTATGATTTAAGCTCTATTCCTTGATTAAGGGGTATTGGGCTCTCTGGCAACAAGAACCCATGAACCCTAAACCCTATACCCTTATAGAATCCCTATAGATCCCCTTAAAGACCCCCTATAACCCCAACTTACGGGGTATTGGGCTCTCTGGGAAGAAACCCTAAAAAATCCTTTTGCCGCAGGGCAAAGCCGACGATCGCGGAGGCCGCCGATGCGGAAGCTGCCGCCACGTCGGAGGTGAAAAAGGACAGAGCCGTTTCAGGGCCCTTCAGAGAGGGTTTAGGGGTGTAGGGGTTTAGGGTTTAAGGTTTAGGGTCATAGGGTTTAGATTTTCGGGCGTCGTTGCTGATACAAATCCTGCAATACCTTAATGACCTAGACTACAGGAATTATGGCATATTCCTTACTATGGGTAATGCAGGAACCCCACAGAACGTACCTTTTAGGATTCCTTTCTGGTGTTCGAGGCTTTTTCGTGTTCAGTCTCGAGCGCTACGCACTTTTTCTGGGGTTGGGACTTAATAGGATTTCGAGTTTCAGATGTAGGATTGCGTGTTTAAGTTTGAGTGGATAAGCCGCAATGTATCGAGAGTTCCTCGCTTACCTTTCTTCGGGGAATAGACGATTGACAACCGACAGCCTGATACGATGTGGGGGTTTCCGAAAATAGGGGTACCTAATTTTGGGGTCCTTATAATAAGGATCCTACTATTTAGGGTACTATATTAGGGCCCCCTATTTTCGGAAACTCTCATTTGATTGTTCCCTAGTCTGATTTCTTTGTATAAGTCCTTAAAACGGTAGGTTTTCTGGGGTCCAGGTACGTCCTTTCGGGGCTCCGGGCTTTGTCTCTGAGGAAGCTCTGGGTAAGGGCCTTCCTTGGCCCTTTCGGGGATTCGGATAAAAGATGCTCAGGCCTAAACCCTAAACCCTAAACCCTAAATTTAAAACCCCAAACCCTAAAACCTAAAGTCGCGTGGTCGACGATTTCGAGATCGAGCCGCCTGATACTCTGAGATCCCCAATACTAGGACCCAGAGTAGGCCCTTATTCCCTTTTTTGAGGGTTCAGGTTCCCTTATAAGCCCCTTTAAACCAAAAAGGGCACCCTTTTTATTCCTAGGTTACTCTTGGGTCTAGAATACCCAACCTTTGATTAGCTGCCGGTGTCTTGGGCTGGAACTGGGCTCCGAGTTTAAACTTGTGGGTTCTTACAGCTTAGTATAGGAGCCGGAAAGTTTAACCTCTCGTTTCTGTGGCTTATTCTGGGAGCAAGTACTCAGACTGCATGTGCTGCATGATCCGGATAATCAAGGTCCGTGGTCTATCGTAATCCGTGGGGTTCAGGGGTTCGGGTTTAGGTTTTTTTTGCGAATAGGTGTTTTGGCGGGTTTGGGCTAACATTGATGTTCCAGATGCCTTTCAGGGCTTCGCCCTTCAGCGATCGGGTTTTGGGGTCTTCGCCTTTTCTCGCATAAAGTAAGGCCTATTAAGGATCCAGCAAGTGTTCCTAATCAGTTGAGTGGATTCGTCGGTGGGGGATAAGTTGCATTCAAGGGAATGCCTTAGAGGGGGCCCCCACCCTGTAATAGTTGTATATTAGGAATATAATAGGGCCCTAATATAATCCTTATAGTCACTATTACAGGGTAGGGGCAGCTTCTAAGGAATGCCGAAGACTTACTAGGCTCCAGGCCGGGTTTAAGGTGGCTGCGGCCTGCCAAGCGGCAGCTTTAAACAATTGTATAGCACTAATTATAAGCCTAAGCCCAAAGCCCTGAGACCCTTCAACATGTGCTCTTCCGCCAGTTCAATGACTCCACCGGATTTCGAGATCTCAGAAGTGCCCAGTGTCCTGAATCCTTAACCCAAAGCCGAGTGGCTTCATGAGAAACCCCCCTAAGCGGAGCTTGAGGCGTTTCCTTCCGATGGCTGGCCACGCGGATTTTGACTGTAAGGGCTCCCCGAAACCCCCGTTAAAAACCTCGATTCCACGTTTGGCTTGCCACCTTTGATGGCCTTAGTGGGGTTCAGGCGGTCTACATACATATATATACAACTATATGTATATATACATGTAGATGTATGCATATGTATGCATATATGTATGTTTATACGGTGCCTTACGCCTCGCAAACACACGTTGAGCCTAAACGCGCGCACCCAACAACGGCAAAACGCCCTTTCTTCCTTAAAGCTTGAACCCCAACCCTAAACCCCAAACCCTCCAGACCCCAGCATACTACCCTGCAAGAGATCCTAAGCCCTCAAACCTAAGCCCCTAAACCGCTAAGCCCAAAACCCCAAAACCCTAAGCCCTAAACCCTAAAACCCTAAACCCTAAACCTCCTAAGCCCTACGCGCCTGAGCCTTAAACCTCTTATAAACCCTCAACCCTAAACCTCCGAAACCCTAAACTCCTAAGCCCTATAAACCCCAACCCTAAATACTAAACCCCTAAACCCCCAAAAAAACCCTTAACCGGCCTTGAAAGGATCCGCACAAAAAGCTGCTAGCGGCCTTCGCCCATGCGACCCCAGGCCGAACTAAAAGATGCTTAGGGTACGGTTGATGATATTAATCCTAGGGTTCCTTTAAAGGGATCTATAAGGGTACCTTTAAGTGGCTCCTCTAAGGGATCTATAGGGTTTTAGGGTTCAGGGTTCAGGAATAGAAATCCTGCATTACCTTAATGGCCCTAAACTACGGGAATTAAGGTATATTCCTTATTATGGGCAATGCAGGATTTATATCAACAACAGTACCCTTTGAGGGAACCCTTGGGGTGCTTGGAGGTTGTAAGTAGGGATAAGGTTCTTTAAGGGTTCCATAGGGGCTTAGGGTTCTTTTTCAAGGTCCTATAGGGTTAAGGGTTTTTAGGATAGTTATAAGTGGGTTATAAGTCCCTTGTAGTATGGGTTCTAACTATGGTTGGGTCATAACTATGGTTATACTACTTATAACCCTACTTATAACTACCCATGAACCTCCAAGCACCCTTCAAAGGAACGTTTAGGGAACCCTTTAAAGCAACTGTTAGGGTTAGGGTACCCCTTTCAGTTTCCGCTTGCTTGAAGTTCGGGCCGCGGGGTTTGAGCATCCTGGTGCTGACCTGGACCCCCAAAGCACGCAGAATAGAAGAGGGTTCCTTTAAAGGGGTTTATAAGGGTTACTATACGGGATCTATAAGGGTACTATATTATGATATAGAAGTCGAAATACTTACCAATACCATTTGGGGGTTCCTTATTATAGTTTCAATATAAAGGGCCCCGAAACCCTTTTCTAATTATTAAGGCCCCTACATTGGAATAGAAGCTTGCGGTAGGTGTTCGATGGTTTTATTCTATTTACTCTTTGGGGATTTAGGCAGTGCTTTAGGGCTCAAGTCTAGAGTTTAGCGGACAAATTTAGGTGGGCGGTGCTGGGGTATACTGATGGCACTACCACATACCTTAAGCTACCATAACCTACTTTTTAGTAGGTTCTAATCATTCTAATTATCACGCCTAATATCGAATTTATGGAGACTCTTCAAAAAAGTAAGTTTCGGTAGTTCAAGATAGCCAATACGAGGAAATCTCCTAGCTGATTGTTGAGAGCCCTATCTTCGACTCATGAGCAGTGCATCCCCGGAGTCAGAAAGAAAAGAGATGTCATGCGTTTCCCGAAGTGCTCGCGCCAAAGTTCAGGATTTAGGCTTTTTAGAAAGTTTATGAATTACGGTTTTGCCAGCATCCCAAACCTTGCCCTGAACGTGGAAGGAGCAAACCGTGGTAAGTTGAAATGTCAGATGCAAACCCAAACACAAGGCCCTGGTGTCAGGACAACATGAACCAAAGCCATATTGATACCGTTCGAAGGTTTCAGATACAGTTGAGGCCCGTGTTCATTGAGGCCCAATTTGCTGAGCGTTCCAAAGCTTCGAGACGTTGACCCCAATCTGGCTTGAAGCATGACATCAAAATGTTCCCGCCATGGCTCATGTTTGCTCTCTTGGGCTCAGCTTGCTCCGTCCAAGCGCGTTCAGAGCCTGTGTTTTCAGTTTAGGGTGCTGAGTCTCGGAAGCAGCCTTCAGCAGGCATCAAGAATGGCGAGACGGTCCTACTCGAGGAGCCAGCGGCAGAGGCCATGAATTGCTGCTTTCGGGATATTAATAAGAAAAGCGGGGCTTTTGCAGACCACTTTTCAATGCATACGGGTTCTGACGTGAGGATGCTTTTGTTTAAGCAAGACAACACTCCAGCAAACTTCTCCATAATTATCGTTGTTGCGTTCGGTCCTCTCTCTGCGCGATGCACCAAAGCAAACGCATCCCTTCTGACTGTCTTTGTTTGCATGCTTCGGAAGTGTTGATTTCGGACGGGGGAGAAGGAAAATTTGTTTTATGATTTGTTCTTGCCTCGGCAACCTCTGACCCGGACAACGACGATTTATTCATAAGCTGCTCAGAAGGTATCTCAAGTAGAGACACGAACAGCATCTCAGAGATTCCCGTATATCTTGATTCGCCTTCACAGTATAAGCAGAAGAAGTCATCCAGCTGGTCCAATCTTGCCCGTAGTGCACTCTCGCTGAAGTCTTCATATTGCCCTACCGATGTAGACTCTGCTCTTGTTCATGCTCACCACCCCATCACCATCGCACCCTCCGCAAGGATGTATCGATCATGCGGTTAGGTGTTTCAGTTGTACTCAGAGGTCTGCAGTGTACAAGAGGAGATCTTGAAACCCAAAACGAACTGAATGGCTGGGAAACCCCGACGCCTAAACTGTCTGGTTCTTCGTAGAGAACGGACGGAATGGATCCCCGAAACAGTCTGTTTATAACCCCCACCAATGGTCTCCATAATCCATTCCCCCCAGTCCCTACTAAGCACCAGACAGTAAAACGAGATGTTGCTTGACCCACCTCCCATGTCCAGGCGGCTAAGCCAGAGACCCCGCCGGACGATCAGCCGAAGGCATCCGACAGGCCTGCGGCAATGGAACATTGCAGCCTCAACATAACATGGGTGGTTATCAAAATTATGGTCCATTTGTGGGTCCCTATTATAGTACGGCACCCCTTATTTAGGGTACCCAAAAGGGACCTTAATTTTGACAACCACCCACATAACATACTGTTCTTCGGCTTGGGTCTTCCTTCTACTTGGAGGGTCGGGGGACTTAATAAGTAGTTATTATATAGACTTATAATAAGTACCTTTATAGGGACCCTAATTGGGGTTATGGTACTTATAAGTCTATAAAGTAACTACTTACTAAGTCCCCCGACCATCCAAGTACTGCCCGAAATTCCAGCACTGCTCCCAGGCCGAAGCATGTACCCTGCAGTCTCCATTCTACGGTTGGGGTCCCTTTAAAGGGATCTATAAGGGTACCTTTAAGGGGCTCCTTTAAGGGATCTATAGGGCTTTAGGGTTTAGGGGTTAGGGATATAAATCCTGCAGGACGCATAATAAGGAATATACCATAATTCCCATAGTCTAGGGTCCTTAAGGCAATTATGCAGGCTTTATATCATCAACAGTAGTTCCGGTCTTTGGTATAACCAACCAACGAATCAGCTATTTAGGGTCCTTTAAGGTAGCCCCAAAAAGGAAACAACAATGGAGCCTATCCATACTATGTAGATACTTCGGCGCTCTGGACACATGCTTTGTTCGGCTTTTGGACTTCACACCTGCTTTCGTCGCAGGCTGCAGTAGACCATGCCATGCTTTGGAGTTCGTAATGGCGGCGAGAAGCCAGTTCTGCTTGTTTGCACACGGGTCTCTTTCTCTTTGTTACTATCTGTGCTCTGTTTAATATTTCTATCGCTCAATCCTTCTGTTTGGATCTGTTTCTTGCTCACACACACACACACACACGCACACACACACGCACACACGCACAGACACGCACACGCACTATGTCTTGTTCGCTCTCTCACTCTCTCTTTCTCCCTCTTTCTCTCCCTGCCTCCTGAAGCTGAATAACTGTCGATGTTAGCCCTCAGGGTTTCTTATTGTAGCTATCCCTACTTGGGTCGGGGGACTTAGTAAGTAGTTATTTTATAGAGTTATAAGTACCATAACCCCAATTAGGATCCCTGCTAAGGTACTTATAAGTCTATATAGTAGCTACTTACTAAGTCCCCCGACCCTCCAAGTAAGGGTCCATGTATCCAAGTAGTATATACATTGGCCTTAATGTAGTCCCCAAATAGTTACTTTGGGTGCAAAGTATATAATATTTGGGTACATGGACCCTTAGGGTATACTTCAATCTGCCTGAAAACACTGTTCTAACTAGCCAAGCCCTTGTATTACACTGAGTTTGCCCTGCCAGGCCTGCGAAGAATGCATCCAAGAGGCAAGGGCACATGTAACCAAGGGACATTGAACTCAAGTTTAGCGGTTAGCGTTTAGGCAAACGGGTCCAGCCGGGCACTCTCTTTCCAAGCCACGTAAACACAAGGTTTAGTGAAGAGCCGCCTACTGTGTAAGTAACTTGCATCCTTGGGTAAGAACTCTGCACTTGCAGATTCAATTTCTGTTGACGGTCCTACAAGCTGACAGGGAAGGCAGAGCGGAAGTGAGTAATTAAGTCGTGCTGTAGACTGTAGGCTAAACCCTAAACCCTAAACCCTAATCCTACCTATAGTTTCCATTGTAGTTCCTTTTCGGGGTTACCTTTTAGGATCCTTAATCTAAAATTGGTTAAACCCAGAAAAAGGAACTACAATGGAGACTATAGGTAAACCCTAAACCCTAATCCTAAACCCTATAAACCCTAAACCCTAATCCGAAACCCTATAAACCTTAAACCCTAATCCTAAACCCTATAAACCCTAAACCCTAATCCGAAACCCTATAAACCCTAAACCCTAATCCGAAACCCTATAAACCCTAAACCCTAATCCGCAACCCCAGATCCGAACCTTAAATCCTAAACACTACAATGTAGGGTTGCCCTTCGGGGCGGCGAGATTCCCGCCTTCTCGGCTTCGGGAGGAGAGTTGTTGCTTAAAGCCTCAGGCCACTCTTCGCTTGAAGAACCTTTACCCACAGGCTCCGTAGTAGTTGCTTTTTGGGATCTCCTTATAGGATTCTAAACAGGAACCCCAAGAAGGAACAACTATGGAGCCTATGGGTATAGCTCCAAGTCTTTAGCTCTGAAAGTTCCGTGACGTTCACCAGGAAGAAGATTCCGAAGGAGGAGACGGCAGCGCTGGATGCAGGCACCACGCTCCATGCCCAATGGCCATTGGTTTAGGGTGTAGGGTTTAGGGCTTTAGGGGTTAGGGTTTAGGGTGTAGGGCTTGGTAAGCTTTAGGGTTTAGCAAGGTTTAGGGTTCACAGGAAACCAACAGGGATGTGGGGGTTGTTCTTCATCGCGTTCACGCTTTGAGCCATCTAGAGACATTCAGTAGATGTACACCCCCAAACCTGAGAATAAGCGTTCATGATGATTCGCTTTGTAACCTCCCAGTCCCTACCTTAAGGGCAAGGGGACACTGCTGCAATTGTTTGTGAGGTATTGACGGTTTAATTACTATTATATTCCAGACTCCTTGAGTGGAATGTAATCTGGAACGCTAAACCTAAAACCCTAAACCTCCTCAGACCAGAAGTTGTTTCAGTTCGTTACAGAACTATTTCGTACCTACGGCACTTAATCGTTGTCATGTCAACCGTGTTTATAGATGCAGGATGCATCGTTGTTGGAAGTCTTGTAGATACAGGATTCATCTTTGTTGGAAGTATAGTTTTGGGGGGCCTCATAGGAGCGGTACTGTCTTGAATGTACACATCAGGTTGCACAGCCATGGTCATGACTTTTGGGAGAGTCTTGCGCCCAAACCGCCTTAAGCAGAGTACATGAAGGTTCATGGGTAGTTATATGTTGGGTTAGAAGTCCCGTGATATGGGTTATAACTATAGTTATCCTACTTATGACCCTACTTATAACTAACCATGAACCTCCAAGCAGAGCCTTTATAGAACCCTTGTAGAGCAACAAATATATAGAATTCTTACAGAGCCCGTAGAAATCCCGTTAAGGAACCTCCAAGTAACGTCGCTAAACTCGAGACCTTAGTCTCACTCAACAGACCGCGAACCACATGCCTCGCCTGCATTGTCCGAGTGTGAGTGCCGAAACCCCCTAAACCTGACTGTAATACAGGGGCCTAAATAATTACCAATACCATTTTGGGGATTCCAAAGTATATAACTATAGTAGAACCGGCCCCAAAACCCTACTGTATTAAGCATCCTCATAGTAGCCCTTAAAGGCATCTTTAAATGGATCCCTTTCCAGCAACCCTACTCTAATCACTAAGGCCCCTATATCACAGTACCCTTTTAATATCCCTTTATAGTATCCCTTACTAATTAAGGCCCCTACAGTATAGAACCCTTTTAGAGCCCCAAAGGAGCCACTTTAAAGGAAGCCTATACCCTAATCACGCTTGATGATATAAATCCTGCATTACCCATAATAAGGAATATGCCATGATTCCCATGGTTTAGGGTCCTTGAAAAATGCGGGATTTATATCATCAACAGTTAAGGCCCCTATGTCCCAGTACCCTTATCATATCCCTTTATGGTAGCCCTTAAAGGACTCCTTTTAAAGGAAGCCTATACCCTAATTATTCAGGCCCCCTGCAGTACCCGGCTCCGGGTTCCGAGTTTCGAGCTGGGCTCTGCTTCAGGTGGCGATGGCCAGACGGCGCTGCTCGAAGAGCCGGCAGTAGAGGCGCCGCGGCTTTCTTTAATTTGGGGCTTAGGGGTTTAGGGCTGTAGGGTTCTAGGGCTTTGGGGTCTGGGGCTTTAGGGTTTTAGGATTTAGGGTTGAGGGTTGAGGATTGGCTCTGCGATTTTAGTGGTCCGAGTTTGCTATCACGGTTTTGCGTTGAATGGTTTAGAACTTGGGCTTAACCTAAGCTGCTACATTGTTGGGGTTACAGGATGTAGAGATTTGGAGCTTGTAATCAAGCCGATGTTTCTTGTGGGGTGTACAGTTTAGAGCTTGGGGTGAAGATTTCATTCTGAAAGTTTGGAGTTTAGGATTGCATTGGAGTTCAGCAGGGTTCAGGGTGCAGTTAGGGCTGCTTGCTTCGGGTTTCAGCGAGTGGAATTTGTACAAATACTCTTGAAAGAAAGATCCGCTACATTTAACAGCCTTTGAGGCTTTTGATGTGGGGCAGTGTTTGGCTTCATGGTCTTTTGATTCTTTAGGCGTGCAATGCTTTGTATTTCTTTGGGGGTCGAAGGTGTACTCCACGCCTAGACTTTGAACCTGTAGAAGTCCTCATTCTTGAAATAGTAGGTGGTCGGAATAATTTGCGATGATCTACAGCCTTGTAGCTCGCCTTTTTCAATTAATTATAGCACAATACACTCCAAGAGACCGTTCCAATCTCCCGGGGTTCTGTTTTCGGAGGCTTCCATTGTGTTGGATCTTCTGAAGGGTTTAGGGTTTAGGGCCTTTGAAGGTGTAGACGGTTTGCGGATGTAGGGGAAAGTAGGGTCTTTATGCGTAAATGTCCATGCGGCCCATGTCGAGGCAGCGGCCAAGCCAGAAACCAATGCCGAGGATCAGCCAAAAGCATCCGACAGGCCCGTGCTTAACGTCGCAGTTTTCTCAGCTTGGCAGAGTTTGACATAGCCCTGGTGATTGCGGCTCCCGAACAGTTCGAGTTTGTAAAATCCAGAGCTCTATATACTCTCAGCCTGTAAGGGCCTTGACAAGCTCTGCCTCTGAAAGTCGGGCAAAAGAGTGATATAGTCTCAGCCGCACGTCCGCATAGGATATGTTCAGTGCCCAGCAGCCAATCCCCGGAACCATTGCATAGCATAAGTTAGCCTATCTTAGGGGTCTTAGAATCCCGCTGGCTTATCAGCTATGTGAACGATGCTTTTCTGGGCTACGAACAACAGAGAGGCTTTCATGTTCTTGCATGTGTCTTCTTCTCCGTCGGCATCTATCTCGATGTCTCTCTACGTCTGCATCTGAATGTCTGGATAGTTAAATAGTACAGTCTGTTTCCGTGATGGTGTGCTACCTTTCTACGGGTGCCTGCTTTTCTGCCTGTACAAATGCAGCTACTTAGTGCACGTCAAGTCGTGCATGTGAGTGCCGAAAGTTCCGGCCTCTTTGGCTCTGGACTTTTCGAGGCACGGCACGGAGCAATAGGAGCTTGAACAGGCTTACCACAACCAGACTTAATCGTTGCTGCGCTTATAACCCAGGTATACCTTACACGTTTTTGTCAACCCAGCACACCCAACGGCTCCGCATTCCCATGAAGTCTCTGCTTATGTAAACGGGGCATCCCTCTCATATAGAAATTCCCCGAACTCTCGATCCTGCATGTAGGGATTCTCTGAACCCCCCAAAACTTGCGTAATATACTGGCCCAGCAATTACACAAGGCTGCTATTCTGCAGATTGTTGGGTCCAGGCAGTGTGAGTGCCTTCCTGCATCCAAACAGCTTACACCTGAAACTCAACCGACTGCAGCACTTGGGAGTTTCCGAAAATAGGGGAGCCTATAGTAGGATCCTTATTATAGGGAGCCCCAAATAAGGTACCCCTAATTTTCGGAAACTCCCACTACGGGTTTAGGTTTCATCCGACAAGCCCGTAGCCCTAAGCCCAAACCCTAGCCAGAGCAGCCAATGTTGTTTTCGTAGCAGTAGATGTACCTTTCTTGAGGTATCGGGGTTACCCTACCTAAAAAATGCACACGGCCAGGCCGACGAAAAACGCATCCAAGAGGCAAGGACACACGCAGCAATCTGAACCCTAAGCCCTACACCGGTTCAGGGTTTAGGGCTCCACACCGCGGCCATTGTCCCGTTCACGAGTTTAGGAATTTCGGGTTTGTGGTCTCGGGTTACACTGCACTCCAGAAAGTTGGAACATGGATTTGGGATGGTTAGTGCTGGGATTACCCTATACTTTACCTTAAGGGCATGAGCTTTCTGGCTTCTACTATTTTGCCACACAAGATTCTCTGTACAATCCCTCGAGACGGTATGGCGGAAGTGTATAACGGATAGCCTAAGGGTTACACTTCCAGCAGGCCAGATTCGGGAAGAGAGTTGCTGATTACAGCCCGTAAGAGGGCAAGCTTCGAGTCTCTTCTGGAAAAGGGTACAAGGCATGTGGGTGGTTGTCAAAATTAGGGTCCCTTTTCGGGTCCTTACTACAATAGGGCACCTATTATTTAGGGTACCCAAAAAGGGACCATAATTTTGACAACTACTCATGTGCAGAAGGCCCCTGTCAGAAGTCCTTAGTCCCTCCGAAGGTCCAAGCCTTTAGCCCAGGATGCGCCTGAGACCACCTCGAAACCCCAAACCCTAAAATAGGTTGTGCTTTGGGATAATTTGTTGATTTCCCTTCTTTCCTTATAAAGGGAACCTATTCATAAGTAATTTCAAAGGGTTTAAAGCACAACCCAGTATAGCCTCACCTCAACCGACTCAGCGCCAATACCCTCGCCTGGCTATCCGAGTGTGAGCGCCGAAACCCTGGAGTAGAGTCCATCTGCAGATTCCCTGTAACTAGCATGCCTCGACACCGTGCATCTAAAATGCCAAGCAACTGCTAGATATATCTTTCGTCCGCTAGGAATGCGTTTTTCAGGAGTAAATTTTAAGCGAACCTAGAAGAAACGGTGCAACTATGAATTTTCGCATGGAAGGACCATAAATTTCTCAAAACCAGAACAGAGCACGTTTCTAGGGTGTTAGGATTTCAGGTTGCAGGGTTTTTGTTTAGGGTGTTAGGGTTTTACAGCTGTTAGGGTGTTAGAGTCTTGAGCTGTACGGCTCAGGGTTTAGGGTTCAGGATTCCCGGGTTAGGCTTCGGGATTCATGCAGGAAAAAGACTTCGAAGGAAGAGACAGCAGCGAAGGATGTGGGCACCGTGGACTGCAATTGTGCAGAAATGCCGCAGTTTCTAAGGGGGTCATGGTCGTAAGTTGGGTGTTGGACCCCAAACCCTAAACCCTGTTCCCTATGCGGGCTTCGTCCTTGCTAGGTAGGAGGGAAAAAAACCCTAAACCCGTTATTTTCGAGTTTAGGGTGGGATTTCCATATGAACCAGGACCCTAAGGTGACCGCAATGCTGGCAATGTCCGAAGAACTCCTTACACCCCATGAGACCTACCCTTAGGCTCAATAGTAGCTCCTTTTTGGGATTTCCTTATAGGGTGCTAAATCTGAATCCCAAAAAGGAACAACTATGGAGCCTATGGGTAGGGTATCGCAAACCCGGAACCCCAAACCCTATACATCCTGTATACTGTTGATGATATAAATCCTGCATTACCTTAAGGACCCGAAACTATGGGAATTATGGTATATTCCTTATTTTGGGTAATGCAGGATTTATATCATCAACCGTATGGGCTGGGTACCACCTAAGCCTGAGCCTTCGGGTAAGACCCTGCGCCAATGCCTTTGTGATGCTTCAGGGTTTATAGAGTATTGTAGAGTCCAAATCCTATAAACCGTAAAGCAACCCTAAACCCTAGAGTTGCGAGAGCGTAAACCTTTAACTATAAACCTTATAAGCCCTAAAGCATCACAAAGGCATGGGTATAGGAGATCGGATAGTAGCAAGCAATGTACGCTCGCTCTTTTGTTGAGGGGGAGTTGTGGATGAATTAACAGGTACCTGGATCCTTAAGGCAAGAGGAATCTTTGGCCCTCGGCCTTATATAGGGGCCTAAATAATTACCAATACCAGTTTGAGGGTTTCCTTTTACGACATATAGTTTAAAGGAGCTCCAAAGCCTATTCCAATTATTAAAACGTCATAGTACCCTTATAGTATCCATTAAAGGACCCCTGTAAAGGAACCCTATTCTAGTTATTAAGGCCCCTATATTATGGGTTTCGAGTTTTGGACTTCCATGAAGGCATGAAAGATGGTGGCACGGTGCTGCTCGAGCCAGCGCCGGAGGTCAGGGTAGTTGATTGGAGCCTTCTGGGGTGTTCGGTTTCAGGATTTCGGTTTAGGGTTTTAGGGTTTAAGGTTTAGGGTTTCAGGATTTAGGGGGGGCAGCTTTTAATGCTTGGGGGCTCTGCTTGCTTTCCTGCACGAGCAAAGCTTTCGATAGCGTTTCTGTGGTTTTGAATGAGCAGGATCTTATCCAGAATCTACACGAGGTTTGCTGTGCTCCACCATTTTCGCAAACTCAACGCATGTAGTCCCGACACGACTTGACTCGCCTTACAACCACTCCCTGCATCTGAATCCTTATTGAAGCCACGCTGCAGAAACCGCGAAAGCCTACTTTGGCCACCAATCTCAAATCAGTCCTAGGTAATTAAGTTGGCAGATATTTACTCCTTGAAAGAGGTCAGTTGCAAGAAGGCTTGACATTGTTCAGGCCACCCAAATTCAGAGCACATGCTATCTTGGAAATCGCTAGACCCTTAACCCCAGCAAGTCCAAACCCGAAAGTCTTCTCAGAAGCAGCGCCGGATATGTTCAACCTGATTGGTTTAGGGCTGGGGTTCGAAAAGGTATCCTTTAAATTTTAGTTGTGGGAGACTCAGCAATTTGTCAGCGACTGGGTCGTGAGGGCCATGTTTCGGGCTGGCGTACCTTCGTTGGCAGCAGGGAGTTGAGAACCCGCACCACAGAGATCACCAAGAATTACACCCTGACCACGGACCAAAGATATCCCTTCAGCTAGTGCATGTACTGTAGCTCTCTCCCCGTGGTCTAATTAGGCATGGTCGACCGCTGGGAGGATTCAGCAGACAGGAACCTTGAATGAGAACCTTATCATATACAGGAAGGATCCCTAGTTGAAGCTTCCATTCCTTGGATCCTTTGGAGGGATAGGCGTGCGTTATCGTGGCTGCGTGGCTCATGTCCAGGCAGCTCCCATGAAAGAGAAAGAGGCTCCGGCTGATGGCCATCCGAAAGCATGCGACAGGCCTGCGATAGACGCACATAGCAGTCTCCTCAAGAATTAGAAATGGGGGGTTCGTAAGCTGAGGGGTGCCTAGATATTGGGGTCTTTGCACTGAGGATCCTACCGGTGGTGCTGCCTCAAACTACCCGAATCCACTTTTCTCTGGAGGTTGTGATTCGAAGCACCAATGCCGAATTTGTAGGGGTGCTACTGACGGGTAGATTTTGGTAGTTCGTGCTATTACAATGGCCCCTCATGAGTTGTCTGAAACTCTGCGTCATGCATCGGTCTCTGCTGTTCTTTACTGACCTAGTTTCCCGGCCCTGCAAGAAAACTGGGTTTTAGGGTCCCGAGTAATTAACGGTACTTTTGTACGTGTACAACACTAGTGTATGTTTATGTGTGTGTGTGTACGTATATGATACTACAAACAGACGTGCATGTACAAGCATATGCGCATGTACATACCTACGCACATGCCCATATGCGCGTGTGTATGTATGTATATATGTATGTACGTAACTACGTACTGTACATATATAGTTAAATGTAACTTGTAACTTATGTTCATACATACCTACATACTTAATTATAGTTACTTACACACGTTTATTACATTACAGTACAAGACATCAAGCTGGATTACATTACATTGTCTACATGTATACATGCGTGTGCATAATTGGACTGCGGTACAAACAAATTCGTTTACGTGTGTATGCGTGTATGTGTGTATGCATGTAGGTGTTATGTAGGAAGGCTTGCGTGCATGCATGTATGTATATGCATGTGTACAAAATGCATGTATATATATATATATGTTATGTAAATCTGTCTGTTTGTATATCTGTATAAACGTGCATATGTACCCATGCACGTTGATGCACACATTCCGCCTATTTGCATTGCTCCTACCTGTACCACTTGGTGCAGGTCGAGTCATTCATGTGACCTCCAAGCGTTATGGTTTAATTTCGAAGCACAGCGTGGTGGATATAAAGATTTTAAAGTATATGAGTCGATCGTAGTCGTTTACCCTCCCGACTTGGATGTGGTGTCATACATCACGCAACACCGCTTCATCATCGGGCTTTGCACAGGCCCGCATGACACCATTAATTTTTAACTTCCTTCTGCCCTTCTGAAATTTTCAAACATCTTCTCCAGGTCGCCAGTATTCTTGCCGCGCAGCCTGCCTGTGCACTAACCAATCGGCCCTAAGCCGAATCATGAGGATACCCAGATAGGCCCTACAGGTGGCTGTATGCACCTGGAACAACTCTCTCTCTCTCTCTCTCTCTCTCTCTCTCTCTCTCTACATATATATATATATATATAAATATGTGTACATACAAGAATATGCTAACGGATCGTTAGCTGTCGTGCGTTTTCGTGCATTTCTGAGGATTGGGACTTGTCTTCGGGAGAGGGGTGGGTGGGGGTGTGGGGGGGGGGGGGGGTAATAACGTCCGCGCTGCGTGATCCGATGCAGTTTGCACGACAAAGATTCACCAATCCTCCTAAATCAATACGAATTCCCAATGTGTTCATCCTGATTCCAAATTCCAATCTATCCTATCTTCCACTCAGCTCAGATATGAACCTCTCAAATCTGACGAAGTTCATCCGATGCGTTTTCCTGCAACAGCCACATCTCAGGTAGATAATCCGATGCAGCTGTCGCGACAAAAATTCACCAATCCTCCTCAATCAACGCGAATTCCCAATAATTTCATCCTGATTCCAATCTATCCTATCTTCTGCTCCAAGCAAATGAACCTCTGAAATCTGACGAAGTTCATTCAAGGCGTTTTCCTGCAATAGCCACATCTCACGAAGATGATCTGATGCAGTTGTCGCGACAAAAAAATCACCAATTCTCCTCAATCAACGCGAATTCCCAATAATTTCATCCTGATTCCAATCTATCCTATCTTCTGCTCAACGCACATGAACCTCTGAAATCTGACGAAGTTCATCCGATGCGTTTTCCTGCCATAGGCACATCTCACGAAGATGATCCGATGCAGCTTTCGCGAAGACATGCACAAATCCGCGGCAATTCCCAATGTTTTGATAATGCGACGAAGACGTCGTTTTCATTGATCTTTTTTGCTGCCACATTTGCGGTTGAAAAATTAATTGCTTACTCATCTTTGAAACCACGTAGAAGAAAACACAAACTTTGGGGTAAACGGCAAAATCGCATTTTGGAATGTTGACATCACGAAAACCTCGTTGTGCGCGGTGTTTTCGGCCTTTCAACCACGCGAAAAAGAAGACCCAAAAAAGTGACACGCCGAATCTCGCAAAGTGCCATGCCTGCCATGGTTTCCACAAAACCAGCTCTGAAAACAACATCTGTTTTAAGGCCTCCTTTTCGGTCTGAAAACGCGCTCCCGCTGTAGCGAAACGCGTTTTTGCACAAAAAAACGCGCGACGGATTCCGACGCGTGCGGAAGAATATCTTTTCCTACATGTCCATATATGCACATGCACATTTTTGATGACTGTCATGATCGCCATCTTTATTGTTAGTTATAGCTATGATAGTAGCGAGACATCAACAATTATACGACGATTCCTAAAACGACCATGAGGGTGAGAATGACTATGGTTTTGATCAAATGCGGTTATGTGTATGATGATGAGATAAAGAATATGCTTATGACGATGCCCTATGACTGATGATGATAGTTATGTGGCGTTGCCCTTAGACTCGACCCCCCGAAACCTTGAAACAACCTAGATATATACAGATATACTTTTTTTCAAAGTATGTTGACATATATATATATATATTTGCACAGATAATTAGGTTGCACCGTCATTTCTGCCCCCCCCCATTCCCATCAACCCTGCCCCCCCCACACAACCAGGCCCTGCCCCCCCCCCCCCCAAGTGATTGGTGGCCCGATAATTACCGGTATATATATATATATATAGATATAGATATAGATATAGATATAGATATAGACATAGATATAGATAGATAGATAGATAGATATATGCATATGAACCATCCCCGCTCCGGCGAGGCCGATGAAGAAAGCGTCAAAGAGGCAGAACGCCTGCACCAACTTGGGCTGTAAGCCGCTGCACCTGTCAAGCTATTCTTTTTAGGGCTTTAGGCATGTGGGCATCGTGGAGGATTTGGTGCTCTGGAGTTTAGTTCGGTTATGAATTGTCAAGCTGTACATAGTCCATAATACTTCTTGGCTAAAGCCGCTTGAAAACAGACGCGGTTCCGACCACATACTTGAAGGATCATGGGACTTAGTACGCAAGCTTATAAGGACCTTAATTGGGGATATATGTACACTTACCCTAATTATAACCACAGGTACTAAGTCCCAAGATCCTTTAAGTAACAAGGAAGGTGTTTGTAGGTCGAGGCCTGAGGCCACAAACTGCAGGCAGAAGCCTCCTCGCCAAAACCCCAAAGAGCCCAATACCCCTTAATTAAGGAATATAGCTTAAATCATAACATGAAGCACTATGTAATTTAAGCCATGTTCCTTAATTAAGGGGTATTGGGCTCTGTAGGACAGTCTTGAAGCTCCAGGACCCCAGGCCTCCACACTTTTCGGCGCAAGTTTTACTTGCTGAGTTCATTCAGAACTAGGATTTTTTCCGATCCCCCCCCCCCCCCCCCCAAATTGCCATGGAAGACTCGGGCATGGGAGGGTGTCAATTCCTGCGGCTACGGAACACTTTTCTCGAGGTGATCTCAGAAGAGGACTCGCTTCGTACTTCGGTAAAGTGGAGCAGGTCTTCTTCTTGGCCTCTTGCAGAACAACGAGGAGAATCAATCTTTCGCTTCGATGATGAGCTGCAGGTGCCTCAGTCGCCGTCTTCGTCCACCGTGGAGACGGATGTCACGGCATCTACTACCCATTCGAGGTCAGGTGAATGCAGCCCGTGTATCTTCTTTGCGAGCTCATTGGGGTGCCGCAATCATGAAAGTTGTTCGTTTTGCCACATCCACCCAGCAAGAAAGGATGGTCCGGCAAGACGTGCACGCAAGCAAACTCGCGACAAATACAAGAGCCAGGTCACGCAGCTATTGGTCGGAAATCAAGAGGACGTGCAGGCGCAGCAGGAGAAGCTTCAGAAGCTTGCCAACGGCAATTGGTTTGTCCGGGCATATATCCTGGCCTGCTTGAACGGCCTTGAGCAAATTCCTGAAGAAGCTCGATGTGGAATTCTCGAACCAGGGCCCGTCCAGCACACGGCATAGTGAGTGCAGTCGTGCACTGCCTGGGGGCTGGGTAGAGGTTCAAGGTTTTTTCGGGTTTGTGATGTGGAAGATTTGGTAAAGATGTCGAGCATTTGCTATCGGGTGTGTGCAAAAAACAGTTGGATAGTTTCAGATTGAAACTCCCGGATACAGTTACAGTCCGGGAGGCGAGGCGTGGCGTTGGGCGTGAAGCCATGATCACCCACTGCTTGAAATTATGTTGGATCTAGAGCCTAGAGCACAAGAAATATCTGCGGCGAATCATTGGCTCGCACGCCCGGTTTTCAGGGCCGAGAAAGCGTAGGCTCCTTGGTCTGGAGACCATATTTTTTCGAGAGACATACAGCTGACCAAGTGACTCATTTGGGGCAGCTCAGAGTTTGGTGAATTTCTTCAGCCGAGCTCAGAGGAGTGGGATATGCCTTCAGCTACCACAACCTGTCATAACCTGCTTTTTTGTAGGTTGTTATGTTAAACCCTCACCTAGGTTTGCAGGTAAAGGGGTTTTGGTTTGGTTTGCAGAAGGCCAGGTCCTGGGATCCAGAGTGGAGTTGTTCTGTCGAAGTGACGAGCTGCTTGGTCGAGTCTTCGCAACGATTGAACCCAGTCAACCAGAGGGCCAGAATCTTGGCATGGTTGATTCCCAAGAGAGGCGATCAAGTGCCGGAACGGCCGAGTGGTGCCATCTATGTGCAGGGCAAGGATAATCCCTGCCACGAGCCGTTCGCAGGCTGAGAGCTCGTAGCGAAAGACGACTCAGCATAGAGAGAGAGGATCAGCGAAAAAGGCATTGGTGAAGTAGATCCGGGAGTCATTGCTTCAAACTCTCCGTTTGCATAAGAGAGGCTCAGCCGAAATGCACTTAACGTGTCCGAATGCGACTTGTCTTTTCTTGGGATTGATGGCTTTTCTTCAAATCTTCCGTGCGGATATGTCCGCGAGCGTGCCGACACAGGAAGTGCGCTGTATCAGCGCGTGCCTTCAACTAGGCAGCCCGAAGCTGGGTCGCCTGGGTTGAGAAGGGGGTGCCAACCACCCTCTTGAATTTCCCCGACAAACAAATGTGGGAAGTTTCTGTACAAACTACCGACCGGACAGTCTCACGGATGTTGTATCCAAACCCGTGCTTCCGGATGCGCTCATCGCCCGGATTTGTAGGCGGGCCTGAAACCATAAACCTTAAAACCCGAACCCCTCACCCGAAACCCTAAATCTAAACCCTGGAACCCCTAGACCCTGAAACTCCGAAACACTGAAAACCATTTGGGGGACTTCTGGTTTCAGAACCTGCCTGCCCTAAGATCCATCCCTAAACCCTACAGAGTCCTTAGAGGCTGTTGCATTCTGTCCCACGCTTATGATGTCTGAGGGTTTGGGATGTAGGGTTTAGGGTAGGTTCTGGGGTTATAGTCATGTCTCAGGCATTTGGGTGTGCAGCTGCGATGCATGGCGATGAGCGAGCCGTCGAGAGCTCTACTTGCGTCTATGATAGGCGGCTGCGAGAACGATGTTGAGGTAACATATGGAGGACATTAGGGGTGCCTTATTTTGGGGCCCTTAGAATAAGGATCTTACTGGTTAGGGTACAATATTAGGGTCCTGAGCGGTTTGGCTTTCGAACTTATGAACAACAAGCTGCTCTGACCTGTTTTGGGGGCCAAGCTGTTCGGATCTGGCGTGCAGGGTACCTTCTGAAGGCCTCGTGGCCGACTGAGTGGCATACTTGGACAAGGCAGCAACAAAACCTGCCTTGACGAGCACCCGTGCCCGTCGCACATGTCTTACACCTCAGAAGCCTCTGCTTCCTGAGCCGTCTGGCCGTCAACATCCGTCGATGCTCGCAACTGAGAGCTCCACAGAAGCGGATGAAGTCCTCCCAGGGCAAGGAAACCTTGCACGGTTCTGGAGGTTCAGGGTTTATGCGGTGTAGCACAGTGTCAATATGCCTCAGCAGGTTTAGGCCTCAGGGTAGTTAGGTCATTGGCCTCTGAAAGCTCAGAACCGAATATCCGGTGAGTGGCTTTTGCATGCGGCTGAGGTTTTAGAGGCAGCTCCCCACCCACCCTCGGAGAGCGCCTTCAGCGCATGTAATGTCGCAAGCCGGAGAACCCTACGCTTTATGCTCTCCATCGAGACTTTACCTCGTGACATGTGCTCGTCGCTACTCTGTGCTTGACGAAGTTCCCGGGCATGGAAGCTGTGGTGTCTTCGGTCTCCAAGGTTGTTCGTCTCCGTTTGCATGCGGTGAGTTTCAGAACCTCCTACAGTGAACCCCAGAAAGTTGGAACATGACTTTAGGATGATTAGTGCTAGGATTCCCTCTGCTTCACCTTAAAGGAATGAGGATATTAATGTTCCGCCTTTCTGGCTTCTACTGTAGGTCTTCTGAAGGTCCAGGTTTCACGTCTGGGACGGATCGGCATTTGCGTGCGGGCATATGCCGAATGTCATGCTTGCTTTTCCTTGAGGTCCCCCTGCGCTACACCACCCAAAACCCTATTCTATCTATTAAGGCCCCTCTATTAGTCTGATAGCAATTGAGTGTGTCAGTCGCAGGCCACAAGGCCTCGATAAACACGACAAAGTCGTAAGTCTCAACAAACTGAAAAACTTTTCATCCCGAGCTCGGGAGTTGTAAGGGCTCCCAGTGGCAAAGCTTCAGAACTGCTCGACTTAGGCACTGTGGGCACATAGATATCGCAGCAGACAGTGCAAGGACTGGGTCTTTCGGGACTTCGCGGCCCTAACATGTACGTGATGAGGGCTGTGCGAGCGAAGAAGCCTGCCGGGATCCGAACCCAAGCTCGTGTAGGGTTTAGGGCTCAGAGGGTTTAGGGTTTAGCTCATACTCAGATTTCGTGCACATCTTCTGCACGCGACAGCCGAGAGCTCGGCAATCTTGCTAGACTCGTAGACGTCTCACAGTAGCAATATGTCATAATCTTAAGGGTAAGACCAGCAACGATTTGAAGCGTTTGCTTGCGAAGACTCAGTTTCGAGCTCTTTTTGGACTGGCAGTGCGGAGAGTCCTATTCTGGTGGATGGCTTTGGGCTTGTTGCCAAGGACTGCTAGATGATGTCGATCAAGGTAGGACACGGAATTTGAAGTGGGGCGCTGAGTGAAAAGGGCATCCTCCAACCCCAAAACCGAAACCCTTGAGTCAGCCTTGTTGTGATTGTAAGTTGCATGGCAGAGAGTCCGAGGCTGTTCCGATTGAGGGAAAGCGTGCACACGGACTGTACCTGCAGACGGCGATGCTTTTCGAAGGAATGGCTTCGTAAGAAAAGGCGACTGTACGCGACGGCCCTAAGCTACCTGTACCCCAAGAACCTACGTTTTAAGGCTGTGAACAAAGAAAGCAGAATACATATGGCACCCGGGAAAGGTAAAACAGTTCGGTTCTTAGGGCTGTAGGTGAGTCAGCACGCACAAGAAAGCCAGAGACACTGGCCTGACAGGCTCCCTCTAGGGGTTAGTTTGGCTAATATGTGATTTTGGGGGGGTCTAGGGTTCAGGAGGGGAGAGAGAGGGAGAGAGGGAGAGATAGACAGAGAGAGAGAGAGAGAGAGAGAGAGTTATAGAGAGAGAGCGGGAGAGAGCGAGAGAGAGACAGAGTGAGAGCCAGAGCGAGAGAGAGGGAGAGCGAGAGCGCGCGAGATTTTTCGGAGATCGTGTTCGTGCGGTCGGTGCCTTGGCTTTGTCTTCACTCAGCCGACCTCTGGATTGAGGCCTCGTTGTTGGTCGAAGCCTTATGGCAGAGAGTGCATGCAGAAGTCTCCTCGCCAAAACGGTCTTGAGACTCGCGGCCTCATCAGCTTTTG